TATCACGTAATAATTTTCATCAAAACAAGATATAATTATAAATTCTACTACATCCAGTAAAAATTAAAGTATACAAAAGCTCGATGAAAAGAAAATACATGTATGTATTTTCTTTTCATCGAGCTTTTGTATACTTTAATTTTTACTACTTGCATACTACGTACATGCTTTAATTTTTGCACATGTTAAGCTTTACAAGTAAAAAACACAGTATAATGGAAATGGATCCTTTCGATGCCGTTTTCTTTTTAAGCGTTAGAATCATCTATTAAATTCGATGCGAAGAAAGAAGGGATATGGATCATATATCTGCATACATACACGTGAAATCGTAAACAAGAGATCGTATACAAAGCCGCAGAGATGCGCATCCGCTTGGGAGGAACAATGTAACCCAACTTCCGGTCAGACATTGGCACGTGCACGCACTGAAGGGTCTCGAGCCGGCGCGTTGTGTGTTGCAATCGCCTCTTTATTCCTTCTCGTTTTGACTGATGGTCAATTGCGAAAAAGATCGCGCCCTCTTTCTAAGCTCGATGTAAAATACAGAAAAGGACTGCACCTTAATTAATGTCATTTGATAGTGTTCATTAATTGTAGATATTGATTGCAAACAAATTATATTTGTATAATAATATGATAATATTTACTCCAAAAAGTGCACATAAACATAATCATTATCTTATTAAAACTTATATAAAATAGAATGTGAAATTAAATAGACCATTATACATAAAAGGCAATAATCAAAGGATATATATTATTATATATTCATTACGTGCTGCGAGCTATTAATAATAAAATAATTAAATTTATGTGAAATAGATATATAATATATAAATAGATATATATTATATAAAATTTATTGACATATATAAATTTTATGGCTCAATGTGCGTGCTCGCGTTAAAGAAAGAGGAAATACAATTTATGGCGCGTATCCTCATTCGTGCCACATTCCATTGTCGAGATGATACATGTTGAAATGTATTGTTATTTGTTCCAACGAAACAATAACGGCGGCTATGTGATTATGCTACTCCAAGTTTCACTATTTTCGCTAATTGTTTCGACGCAATCATTGAAATTTGCAATGGAAATTGGTACGCAAATACAATCCACGAAAATGATGTAATCGTTGCGCGATAGAATAAAATTATAACAACATATGTTTAAATGTTAACAAAAGTTTTTCTCTGGAAAATGGCTTTCAAGTCTATTAATAACAACTTTATAAAAATCATGGTTATTTATAACACGCATAATCATTGGTGCATTGCAGCAAGTGGACGGTTATACACCTGGCGTGGACTATCCAATTTACAACTCGGTGCCGTTCGGACTCGCGTTTACCTGTGGAGGAAAGTTACCTGGATATTATGCCGATCCCGAAGCCAGATGTCAGGTGTGTCCATATGGTCACCGAACATAGTCTCATTTCAATAATCGAGATTATTCAAATGTGTATACGCACACGTGCATACCATCATATTCCTATCTGTTGAACTCGTTAATAAATATAAGAGCGAGCTCGTATAACAGATCATTCTTAAACAAACAATTTACAAGCTATTTTAAAAATTTAAGTATAAAATGTTAATTGTAGATTATTTTAAGACATATAATTTTCTTTTGTGCGCTCGCAAGTTTAAAACATGAGAAGATTATGAGAATTTATTTATTTGGAGAAAATTGTAAAATTTGTTATAATCTAATAATTGAAAAAAAATAGATATTGATATTTGATTCAAGGTATGGCATTGGTGCTTGCCAAATGGACGTCAATTTAGTTTCCTCTGCCCAAATGGTACAGTCTTTAGCCAAACAACTCGCGTTTGTGACTGGTGGTTCAAGGTATAAGCGTATAAAATATTTGACATAGATATTGCTTTCTTAAAGATAATTATTTTTAATTGACTTTAATTCTCTTCATTATATTTTTGACACTGTAGGTTGACTGCAGCGATTCACCGAGACTTTACGGCAACAACGATGAACTTTATAGAGATGTGAATGGAAACAAGATCTAACAACTCCTATATTTTAATTAATAGTTGATTGTGTACATTAATAAATTTTTTATACATAATTTTTCGCGAGCACAACGCTATCCAAGGTACTATTCATATTCTACGAAATATGTACTGCGTACTGAATTCCTAGTTTGCCGATGCAGGAAAGTAACAAGGATGTCTGCTTTATTTATCGCTGTTAAATAAAATAGAATTTGCTCAAAAAGAATTAAAAATTTCTTGTAGCTATATAAAATGAATGCTAATGTTTTTTAAGAAATATCTTTTTTTTAGAAACATATGTTTTTGCTTCCTAGTTACATGCTAAATATGAAACTTTCGAGGATTGTTAATCTCATATATACATAGATGTAGTATATAAAGAAATTATAAATTAATTACCACACAATTTCTATTTAAAAAAATAGCAAATTAATTGTAATTAAAGAAGCGCTATTTAGAGCATTAAATAAAATTCACGTCGGGCAATTTCTTGGCATGATTGGACAATAGAAAGTGAGAGCTCGTCGTGGCTGACCAGGCGAACCCCACCCTCTTCTCTATCTTTCTCCCTCAGATACTAACTTCGACACTTATTGCTACACTTTTCTATTTGCGTTTTGCATGCGTGTCTCGTTACGCGAAACAGCTTTTCATCTTGTTTCGCAATTTTGTCTCACCTATCCAAGAATGCACTTAACTTTACAGCACGTTCGTGCATCATGTTTTAAAGATCGACACAACTTTTACCGTTATCAATGAAGATTTATCAGATTCGATTATAAAGTCTTCCGCATAAAAACATATATTTATAGAACTCCAAGGATAACATGATAAATACTCTCCTAACTGATCTTATAAACATGATGATAATAAAAGTGAAGAAGAAATTAAGTGGAGAAGAAATTAATCGGCTTTTATGATTTCCCTTTCGATCTGAGGAGATAAGGAAATCACAAAGAAAACTGAAAAATAATAAAATACAGATATATAACATAAGATTTATATATGTTAAGATATAAAACCGCGAATGCGCGTGATTTCTGACATTTTATATATCAGAAATAATATAACGCTCTGGCATCGAATAAGTCAAATAAAGCTGCATTCATAAAAATCATTAAGGATGGCAATCTTTCAATGACAAAATACAAAAAAATCAAAAAAATACTAAACCTGATTCCGTATATTCGACCTTTCACGCGAAGAAAGATCACATTCGCGAGCAAATGTCGAGTCTTAAAAAGAGGAAAAAGAGAAAATGAAGAAAATGAAAAATGACGTCCTTGGTTATCGATAAAGGAAGACAGGATTCGTTGACCTCTTAAAAGATTAAGAAAATGCCATGGATCTCGTATAATGAACAAAACCTGTGACACGAGGTCAGACACTCCTTTCTTTGTAGTAAACAGGATCCACCTCACTTAACCAATTATTGATGAGATCCTTTCAAGTATATACAATTAAAGTTTATTTTAATATTTATATTTCATTTACTAATTAACAATCATCTACTTTTTATCAAGAATTTATCCTTAACGAATAAATAAAGCTGTAAATATGTAAATTAAACTGCCAGAGTTTCCCTATTTAATTCATAAGGAAGGAATAAATTTTATGCAAATATAAATGTCTCAGAATAAAATAATATGGCCTTTTTTCGTCCATTATTGTGTAACCAATGCAATAAATTTTTCACAGTTATATGATGTAACATCGAGATATGATAATTCTTATAACCAGTTTCTAATGATTATTACGCTTCCCACATATAATACGAAGGGGAAAATCTTCCCACGTATAACGCAATTGACGTATCGCTATTTTCTTCAAATGTCATTAGAAGTCTATGATAAGTGACATATAAATCCTATGCTTAATGTCGTGTTAGCAGCGCTTTAATCCCATAGTCCACTGGAAGATCCGGTTACTTTCCTTGATATCGACGACAACATCCATTTGATCCGCGACCGTGATGATAATTTATTTTAAATCCAAGGAGATGAGAATCCATGTGTGTAATGTCTCTACGACTATTACGAAAGACTCGTCCGCGGAAGAAAACCAGCTTCCTACATTTCGCTAGGATTCATATGATATTTTTATCGATTTAAAAACTCGATTGAGACGCGTACATGTCATCTGTGCGACTATTTCTGGCATCTATTGTTAAGATATTAACGTTCGACGTTCCACTTTCACTCGACGCATCTCTGATTGATCTTTCGTATGTATATTCTTTGAAGTAGACAGGCTGAGTTTATTCGGTGACAGATGACGAAGGGATCGCGGCGAGCTTGAATCCCTGAAGGCAACGAAAGACCTTTGAGATCAAAGTCTCGATATTTGTTTCCATTTCATTTGATACACGCATATCACCTATTCATCATGACAATAGGTGTCGAACCGCTCGCGTTACAAATGTCATAAAAATTTAAGTGTGCTCAATTTGACCGATTCCATCCACTCCCATTTATCATTCAATTAAACCTGGATATCACAAAGTTCGAACATAACAGTGACACTTAATACCTCGACCGTAATGGATCAACAATAGAAATCAAACGATCGCGGCTATAATCATATCCATATATATGTCATACCCGTGATAATTATACGTCATGACGGTTCGTTGCAAAACGGAGTCGGAGATTAATTCTGCCGCAGTGCGAGAACAAATATCATCGCACGCAGCAATGACCTTACCAATTCGATATCGAGCCCGCTTTCCGAGTGTGTATGTGTGTGTGCGGGTGCACACGTCTGTATGTTCTTCTCGTTCTGTCAGGTGGCGACGCAGGTGTCTGTCTCTCTACGTGTTGGGCCTATTCGCGGCGTGCGTGCCTTTCTCTCTCGACCTGGGGCCTCAAGTCTCCGGGAAGATTACGCCAATGCTCGGATCGGACCCCAAAGACGCCAATGCGCCGTTCGACTCCCTCCTTCGCCTTGTCGTCGGTCGTAGAAAGCTCTCAACCAGACGACGGTGGTCAGAGCACAACGCTCCTGCTGGTGGCTTTTCCACTTCCATCGTGCAGTCTTCTGGCCGGACCGGACGCCGCGATCTCGCCCCGCACCCGCACGAAAAGCCGTCTCGCGCGCGTATCGTTTTGTCCTGTCTCGTTTAATTTTCGCGGTCCCACCGAAAAAAAATCAAACGGCGAACATTTTCCCGGGGTATCCGTCACAGTTTAGCACGACGAAAAGTGCATCTGCCCGCTCTTGTTCTCGTAATACGCTAGAATATACCTGTGAATTTGCATTTCAAGTGCCAAGTCGATGTGAGGACGGTGGTTTCATGAGGAATTAGCGAAGAACTAGCGGAGCCGAGAGAGACAGGTTTGGTCCTCTTTTCATCCTTCGTTTAATTTTAAATACGCTATAAAATATTAATTGTATTTTCCGCTCTCCCAAGAGCTGCATAGTCGAGAAAATGGAGCAATTTTACAAAAACGCGAACTTCGATCGTTCTCCATTTCGAAGTAAGGCTTTCGCGGCTCTCGCGATCTTGCGAAATCTGCATAGTGTTAAATCGTTCGTTCAATCTCCCGGTGAAACGCACCATGTGTATACGTGTTTTATTAATTTCAAGCGCGCAATATTAAAGTTTGTTTCATATCTGTATACGCGTTTTGCTATTAAAAAGAAAGCGAAGCGCCGCGATGTTTCGACGAACTTAATGAAATTTATGTTACCTCACCGACCCTAATCACAGTGTTTATTTAGAAAGAGTTCTCAGCTTCTGCCCGCGGTCAGAATATCATTGTTCTCTTGCGACAGTTCATGTAAGTTGGCCCGGGGAAATAGCCTTAGGAGAGAAATCTTTCGAAAATCCAAAGAATAAAAGATACAAAAGATTTGAAAACATTATTTGTGCCTGATATTTTTACTCATTTTACATATTTAATTATACAAATATAACAATCTCTGCTTATTTCTGTCTACTTAAAAAAAACTGACACGCGTATGGTGAACACGAGTCATCCGAGTGAATCGAAGAAAGAATCTACAAAAACGCGAGCATTAAACCGAGCCGCTTCGGAGATCGCAATAAAGGCAGGACTTTCGCTGCTCGTCGCATCCTGTGAGTCTTCCTGCTCGATCGTTTTTTGCATCACGATAGCGAGATGATAATGAGAGCGAACTGGTTTTATCATCGAATTTGTCATATCCGATTTTCCACTGAACCGATGAGAGCGAAATCAACGGAGCCGCACGAAGTGCAGTCTAAAAAAAATAGCGCAATATCCTAGATCCTTTTACGCGATATTTTCCATCGCGAGTAATCGAGCGATTGCGTTCTCCAGCAGAGTCACGAATTTCTAATCTGCTCGTCGAGAATCGCGAGTAACGAGAAGAGAGTTCGTTCAGCTTAAAGAGAGACGTATACTCGATCACGCCGCACACGTGCATGTACCTTCACACATGCAACGGCACGCACGCATCGGGCACGCACGATGCACTCGCTCCACGAATCTTATTCCCGATGGAAACTTTCGTCGGTCTTATGGTAATTTATTCGTATTTATCACAGCACAGGAAATAAATCATACGCTACTGCCATGAAATTGCGAGAAAAGTTTTTTCGTCGACGAAAGATCTTGAAGATAAATGGACGACTGAAATGATTAGCTAATTTAGGCGATTGCATAATTAATCCATGAAAAAATCATAGAAAGGTAAAGATTTTCAAACGCTAACAATCTCTCTATCGTCAATCTGTGTGATAAAATACGATTGAGATGATAAATATAAAGACCTCACTGATTTGTTTAAAACAAGACATTCCGCGAATGAGATTTAATTTTCAATCAAGTCGTAATAGATCGCTACGATTCTTATCGCACATTTATCTAAATCGAGAATTCATTTCGCGCGTATGCGCAAGTTGCCACAATCGACCACTTCATCGATTGGGCGGAATAAGTTTTCCGTAACCTCGACGGTACCAATCGGCCGTTCTCTCTTTCCTCGCCTCTCTTTTACTCGTATAATTCATCGTCTCGCTTCGTCCAACGCGTTCTAACGCGTCCACCACGTTCACTTTCAATCGGTGGATTCCGCGAGGCGATTGTATACACGTTCGAAAGTGAATTTAATTTGCGAGAGAAGCGCGTTAGACGAGACACGCCTTGCCAGCTCTTCCTAATGAAATTCGTTCATTTTTCTCAATTCCTTCGACCAATTCTTGCATTCAAAATGGCGATCTTCGTCGCATCTCTCGAGAAAATTGCTCGATTTCAATTACTAAAATTAAAACCTCATCGCCAGAATTGATGATATTTTAATCAACTTTCCAACGTTTGTTCAACTCGCGTAGACTCTTCCTATTCCTGTAAGGATCTTTAGGTATCCATATGCGTCTTCTCGTAATCATTTCGGACTCACAAGGGGCAGGACCGATACTCGCGAGAATTTTCGCCACGAGAACGTCGTCTCTCGTTATGTAATTAAAAAAGTTTCATAATCATGCGGTCGGCCCATTTTCTCGGCGCGTCGAAGGATCGACGAGGGAGGAAGGGTGCAGCAACAGCAGCGACACGTGGTCCCCCCGATGTGGCGTTTGCAGGATCTTTTTCATAAACAATATTGCACAGCTCCACAGCGTTACGACATAATCCATGTCCGCCGTCGCGAGCAAGCGCGAGCGACGGTCGGCTTTCTCCCGATACGCCGGCGGAAAAATAAACCAACGACTTGGCCATAATCGAACGCCCGGATAGTTTTGCGATCCGCGCGATTTGCGACGACGGCGACGGAGCGAGCGAAATTCCATTCCGATCCATCATTAGTGCCAGACAAATTTGCGCTAAAAGGGCACGACGATTAACGGAGAAGATATACACTTGCGTCTAAATAGTAAAAAAAAAGTGTGCTGAAAAAATATAATATATAACGGTAAAATATCTTTCCCATTTAATGTATTTAACGCACTATCGCAGTATCTTTCAAATAATTGAACGGTTACAAAAGAGAATAATTAAAATTCTGATCGCGTGTGTTAATGATGACATAGATGGCTTAATTAAAGCCTCGTTAATTATTATCTTATATTTTCCAGCACACACACACACACACACACACACACACATCTCATTGTAAATAATCTCTTAGAAAATATAATTATATTGACGAAGAAGAGGATAAATAAACAATTAAGATGATAATCCGAGCAAAGATGTATGAGAATAACATGGAAATAAAAATAGAAATACGCACCTGAAGATATCGCTAATCATTAGTAAAGTAAAAAGTCATCATATTGATTCAAAGTAGAAAAAGCCAATATTCACGAGTTTAATGAATGCTTAATGAGAATGATTATTATATGTTAATAATCATTCTTTCTGTTTGATCGTTTTTTGCCACTTCGATTGTTTTAATAGATGGTGTCGTAGAAATTTGAGAAATGAATTGTTGATGTAACAGGCGAATCTTAATTGTTTGATAGAAATCAGACTTTTGAAAGCTCGTGACGTATTGCCCGAGGACAAAATGAAATTTGACCATCAGCACTTTCATAGAGTAAGAAAACCAGACCAGTGATCGAATGCGTCAACAAGCAAAAAGTATGTCACACCTTATTTGCGCGACATGTGATATTGCGCGAGTTTACTTTCGATAAATATATTTATGTTGTTATCAAAATGTGGCCGGTAAAAGTAATAAAATAATTTATAATTATTACTATACAAACGAGCGATACATATGCATATATTTTTATGAGACTTGTTATAACGACGTCTACTATTCGTAAAAGTTACATAAAAGTTACAAAAGTTACATATGTAAAAAGCTACAAAAAGCTACAATAACTTACATAAATTTATATATTTATATAACTTATATAAATTTATAGCGCGATAGGAAGTGCCATCGAAATGCTATAAAGCATCTCTTATATGGGTCTCCATTGATCTCATTGTGCTCCAACAAACAATTGTTCGCACGGAATAGGAAGAGCAGGAAGAAGATGATGGTGAAGCACCGGCTTCACGACACATTAATCGCGTTAATTATACACAAAGCACAGACCTCTCTTCTTAAGGGAGAAATTCGTAGGAGGATTCGAAACGCCGGATTCATCCAATTTTTTCCTCCGCCCGCTCTTAAATAATAACTTTCGAATAGTTTCGCCGGATATATCAAAATGATATCTACCACGCGTTATTAGCACCTCGCACTTATGTAAAAGTCTCGTAATGAAGCGTGCAGAATTATTAATCATGTTTATGTTATATTAATGCCTGATTCTTGAAATTGAATTGACGTATGTTGATGACAAACAAATGTCTAGTTTCTACCATGCATATTTAAAAAAATTTGCAAAATTTCATTTTTTTCAATAGTTATTATCTACATATTTTTATATTTGTTGTGTAGATCTTACACAATAAGTCAATAAAACGATGCGGATGATGCTTTACGGTCAAATAAGTTTTAATCTCAGCCAAGAGTGAAATTGTTTTTTCCGAAATCTCTCGTCTAAATCAATAAAAACAGCCAAAACATTTTTCGATTGAATCGACCGAATGACTTCTGAATCATTGCCCAAAACTGCAATTTCTAATAAAAATTAAGATATGCTTTGCTAATGTATTTGACTAATGACAAATTCGAAAACAACATTTTAAATGTCAAAATAGGAAAATAGAATTTTACAGTTGATAATATTTTAATCAAAATAACAATTAATTAAGAACATGAAATATCACATTATTGCGCAAGCAATCGATTTATAATAAATAAGCTTGACTTTTTTAGTCTGATCATTGGAGTATGCGAAACTTCGTTGATGTGGATATTAGAAACTAATTTACGATATACCACTACAACTAAAAGCTGTACGCGTATATTTACTCGTTAAACTTGTTTTCCTGCGAGAAAAAAGTTTTTTATATTTTCTTTATACATAAATTAATAATTAAATTGTAATTAATAATTAAATATGTTATTTACAAATAATATAACATTAACGAAATATACACCCTTGCAGAAAAATAACTTACAAAAAATTATTTAAAAATTTCTAAATTCTAATAGGAGAAATCCTTCTAGCATTAGAACGGAAGCTTGGAAACGCGATATATTGGCGAGATAGAACGAAAATTATAGAACGTTAAGAAAATCTAGCAGTTCATGGAAAATTCATAGCAAAATTAAAAATTCAAAATGAATAAAGCTTCATAATAGAATCTCTTCCTGTTTATCAAATAAAAAAAAATAAAGATATATTTTATCAAAATAATTTTATAAATTTAACTGCTTACAAATTCAACTTTTCTAATTTAATTTACTCTTTTACTTAGCGTTAAGAAATGCGAAAGAATTCTGATTTATTCTGATAGTAGCATTACAAACTTTGTTTTCCACTCTACTTATTATACTTTAACACTCTCGAATGTAGAGATCATTCTATATAGACGTTTTTTACATTTAAACATAAAACGATCTAGTTTATTGCTTTATTTAAACATGAAGCCATAAATCATTCGCAAATATATATTCGCAAAAAAAAAAGTCAAACTCGATTCTGGCGATGCATGTTTACTTCACTTTGAACACAGCTGTGCAGAATTTCGTTTTGCTTCTATCTCTGGAAAAATCTCGATGCGGCCCTGGCGCTCGTCCAAACAAGTTCAACGTTTCATATTCAACTACTGTAGCAATCTACATAATTTACGAAAGATATTTCTTGTGCACACGCACGATCAACAGCTCCCGTTGCGATTATTAACATTTGCTCTGCATATGTTTGTCTTACACAATTGCACACTTTCTACCTACAAGGCAAGCGATGCTTATAACTATTGTAACGGATACCCTACGTGCAATGGCATAATATGATATGAAAATTACAATAGCGAGAAGCGTTATGTTCATGATCGATCCATTGATTTGACGAATCACGATAAATATTTCAAACTGATCTGCTTCAAGATCTATCCCATCGATGCTCGTTATGTGTCTGACTTAATCTGGTTTAGTTCACTGTTTTATACGAAAGTGGGCAAAACTTCTTGCAATAAGATCAATAATTTTTCCAAAACTTTCGTTATTTTATTGCAAAAAATGTCAATCATCATTCATCCTTTTATTAGAAATTTTTGCAGAACAATAAAAGTTAGATAGTAAGACTATGTCCATAAAATACATTTGTATCTTGGTTTGTCGTGATATTCAGCTTCTAAATGTCAATCACCAGCTAATTATGTAAATTACGTCTTATCTATATAGTTTTTTCCATTATTATATTTACAGTACATATAATATATATAATCTATGTATACAATCTTATTTTATTTCTGTGTGTAAATCACAGCAATTTTCGTTAATGAGAAAAAAATGATATTCTCGAAAAATAATGAAAATTTCCACATCAATCTTTCGCAACTTGCAACATGTAATTAACACATCATTTAATTAACGTTTTTCTCATCGCATTGCATTCGACATCAGTAACATAGTTTTTCTTGATTATCGATTAATTTAATACGCCTCGAAGCGAACATTCGAATAGCACGTAGGAAATGAAAGCCTGTTATTTCGGCATACTGTGCTTTTGAAGGCTATCGAGTTTTGTAACCACACCTTAACGCAACGCTCATTCGAAAAATTTTATTTGACACAACTGCAAAAACGAATATAAAAGTGTTATATAAATTATTGTAAAATAGAAATAAAATAACTAACTCAGAATTGCAAATATTGCTCTCTGAATGTTATTGCTTATTTTATAAGAATATTTGTTCTCTTTCAATAATTCTATCTTAAATTATTCAAGTAAAGGATTGAGAAAATCTTTCAGAAATTTTTCACTATATAAGATTGATTTCACTCGCCAAGATTGATTTAAGACGTCCGATGATCAAGTGCCTCATCGTACGAGCTATCACTTCCGGTGACCTTTAGTGAGCATGGATGACCGTTATTCGTATGTCGTAACATAACGTAATTTACCGTAAGATAATGTTATGCGAGTAACGCATTCCGCACACAACTCGACAAAGAAGATATCTCAACATTCCGTCGAGAAAAATGTTAAATATGTGAAAAGCAACGGATGCACTTGTATCTCTCTCTTATTTTTCACATAATGCATAAACTAAAATCTTTTTGCACTATGATATTTCTTTCTTCGGCTTATATGTTTTTTTCTTCGCCAATGTGCATCAGTAATAATCATAAATATAATAGATAAAGATTGTAAATGTTGTGATGAAAAATCAGATAAATAATAATAAATTATATTATTTATTACGAAACGCAGTAATATTTTGCTGAGCAAAAGTATGCACATCTATTAATATTCATAGATATCGTTAAGATGCGGGTTTTCGCAGCTTCCGGATATAATTAATCTTTAATCTGAGGAAGGGATGTTTCCCATGCTGCTTGAGAACTTGTTCGCGTTGTGACACGAACATGGGGAACAATTATAAAAACTTGTGTAACCGAATAATGTAGTCTTGTATAGTTTTTTGCCAGTGGGGGAAGCATCCTCTCTCTTTCTTTCCTACTTTTACAGAAACGATAAGAATCTGTCTGAGAACTAGAGCGCGATAGCGCACTTAATTAATGCGAGCATGTACGCGGTGCACTGCGTGCGATTGGCTCGAGCGTTCCACATTTCTGTGCGGAAATTGAGAAGAACGTGCACGGAATCGCGTGTGTGTACGCTTGAAAATCACATGCTGCCTTTCTGCTTAATTAAAGGCGATAGATCGGAATTAAATTCTGTTGTGCATTTTGCTTAAATCATTATGTTGGATTCATTTATATAATCAAGATGCATTGTATGTATATAGGGTGATCTGTTATATTTATTGTCGAGAGTATCAAACTTATCAGATTCACTGATTCAAATCTCATTAATCAATAAACAAATCATACAAATTTTAATAAGTACATAATTAAGTAATATATATAAATCGATGTAAATGCAAATAATTACATCAAGTTCATAAAATTGATAATCTAATTTAACGCTGAAAGGTTGCAAAATTACTTTCACTAGACAAAATAAAAGAAATAAATTTTAAAAAAGTGATGCCAGTATGTGGTATAAATTAACAACAGTGATTGATAGTCCGATAAATAAATGTCATCTACGAAATAATTTAAAATAGAGAGAAAATATGAAGAATATTTTTTTTAACTTCTTAAATAAATAAATTTTACAAGTAAATTGCGTGTATCTATGTATGTGATGTATAAGAACCATGTACAAAATTTAAAAATTCTAATGCAAAAAAATTCAAAGATTGAGAAAGCATACAAATCCGATATTTCTATCAAGAATACAATACCTATTGCAATATATACTCGTGTGATTATCTAGCGTAATGTGTTATTGAATCAACAGACATTATCATTATTATCGCATCAAGAATCTCTTCCGAAAGATTTCCCTAAGCAAATGCGTGCGCTGCAAAAGTACACCCTCTAGTAATTAGACATTCGCAATTGCTACTACAAAGTCACACCCGATATTACGTGATCGCGCATTTATATAACACTCGCATTATCCTTGCATTATATGGTTAGCAGTGGTGACAGCACAGAGAAAGTTCCTATCCATTCCCATATGCTCAAGCACCTCTACAATCTACGGCTACAGTGCTAAGATTCTTTGCTTTGATTATGTTCGCCATTTACAGTGTCGTACGATTGACTTTCAACACTCTAAAAAATTTGACCGATATTTTACAAATAGAAATTTTTTCATCTCTCACGATTGCGTAAAAAAAAAATAATAGCAAGAGGATATCAATGGAGATAATAATGGAATTTTAGTAATTTAAGTCTTATATGAGAGATTTACTCTTTTCTTTTATTCTGCATCAAATGATTCAATTTTTTAATATCTTAACACATCTTTTAAAATAATGTACAGACTATTCCAGCAGCCAACACGATTAATTTATTATTTTTTACAGTGCCAACATGCGGGAGAAACGATGGCTGCTGCTGCTCGCTCTGTACGGTAAGTATAGTTTCTGGAGGATGATTCTTCGTTTCTCGACGATCGTGTTTCCCCAATACTAAGCGGAGCTTGTCAGCGGGACTTTTACTCGATTTCTACTATTTCTTGAAATCCTGTTTGTGCCGCTCCGTAAAAGAAAGAATCTCCCTTTGTCCATCTCGCGAGTCCCCCTTGTGTCTTTAGTATTTTTGGACTTTTCACGGCCGTAGTGGAATGTCGAAGGGGCAGTGGACGACCTTCTACACCTGGGAATTTTAAATCGCGCACGTAGATCGATTCTCACCGCAATTCCTCTGTGCAATACAAAACAACGACTACTTTCCACGACGAGCGCATTACGTGTATGTGTCTATGATGGATAATTTAAAAAAAATTAAATCTCTCAATATCAAAACTGAAGAGAACGAGATTGAATATTTGAAAGTATATTTATAATTTAAAAGTATAATTACAATTTAATTGTAAGATAAAATATTTCTCTCTTATTTTGCTTAAATGTCAATCGTTAATGTTAATAAAAAGCTTACAAGAAAGTTTTGAAAGTTTCGAGTTTTATGGATCGTTCATTAAAAAGTACCGAATGCAAAGACTGAACACTGAATTGTCAAGTGAGGCAAGTTTCTTATTAATTTCTTTCACCTTACATCAAACACATATTTAGTATTCGTCCTGCGATCACGGCCGTATGTAATTCGCAAAAGCATTTTACAAAGAGGTTCCACGAAGAAAGGGGGACCTGTTGTGAATGTCAAGAGAACCATTTTCTTTGTCTCGCCGTGAGACATGTGACGAATAATCTTAAGAGAAATATATTCGGTAAAACGAATATTAATATCAATCATTTTATTTCGATAATAAAAAATTCAAATCTAGTAAAAATAAAAAATTTCGTAAGATTTAATGTAGCGGAAAAGATTATTTTGCGATTGCTTACGGCATAGTGCAAATGAGTATCACTATCGACTTCTTTCCCATTTATTAATATCCATTAAAACAGTTAAATCAATCATTATTAGCATTTAAAATGTTTCCTAATATTTTCTGCTTTTCACGAAAAACGTTTAATTCAAGATCTTTAAAATTTCGCTTTAAAATCACGGAATAATAAAAGACTGCTATTCTTACGACATCGTAAAAATTTTACGGTAATCATATGATGCTATATAAATTTTACGACGATAAAACTAATGTTTAATCATCATTATATCAGATGCAGTAATATATTTCGTAGCATCACAATTTCTCAATGAAAATCACCGATAAGGTACAAAAATATGATAAAAAAACATGGTCACGCCCTTCGAAGAAGGAAAATGTCAGGTCATTCCCATTCAATCGAGATTCCGCATCGCCGAGAGACAATTGGATGGAGCAATTTATTTATATGCGGATACAGAGAGAAAGAGAGAGAGAGAAGAGAAGAGGTGTAATAGTAACAACGATGATTTCGTCATGAAAACAGATTTACCATAACTATGCATGGAAAGAGAGCACGCCCACATTAACATTTCCCACAAACGGAATGCGAGAATTCTCATAATTCATTTTTATACAATGTCGGGGCTTGTGCAGCACGATTTCTTATCGATCGCGTAGCCTGGAAAAGTATGATTCCGTTATACGATCGGTCTATTGTGCACATTTTCAACATCACTTTCGAGGACATCCACTTTCCGGTCCATAAGGCCGCATTCACGCAGCCCTAATCGAGGCGCACGAACACGTTTTTCCGCATGTATGCACACCATATTCGAGAAATTAGAGTGTCGAAAATAACGGGAATGAGGGACATAAAATGATCGTAAAAATAATGATTAGCATTAGAAAAATGTTTACACGTTACTTGCTTGTAATTATTTCTTCATTTTAAATATTTGTTAATTAATCCGATAAAGTATGTAGCATTTATTAGTTCTTGCTTCTCTTTCTTCGAAAAACGTACCAGCGTGTTGATCGAATATATTCTTACATGAATTATTGATTACATTCATGCATATAAAAGATATGCGACCTCGGAAAGTAAAATGTAAAAAAGCGAGAAACAATATTTACCTTAATCACACTTTACAAACTGTCCTTACGTCTCAATTTCCTTAGCTATTAGCTTTCAAAACAACCTTGAACTACTTCAAAATAGTTACAAATATAATTCAGTAACAAAATTTACGGAATCTAATAATTGGAAATAGCCATTAGAAATTTCAATTTTTTCGCTCATTTTAGATAATTAAATATTAACATAATATAATACAATATAAAAAATAAAAGAATAAAAATAAAAGAAAAATAATTTTTAAAAAATGAGAAAAAGAGAGAAAGAAAGAGAAAAATAATATAAATTAGACGAAAAAATAAATAAATAAGAAAAAATTAAAAAACAGATTAAACATTCATGATGTATATATATTGATTGTAGATTTGTAGATTGATATAATATATTATAAGCTTATTATGTTAACACATATATGGTTCAGTATGATTTACAAATCAACGAAATATGGAAAGGAAACGATCAATAGACAGCCTTGATCCGTTTAAGAACAATTACCCAACCGAATGCACTCGCTCTCGGCGAGAGAAAATTACAACACTTATGTTAGATTCTCACAACGCTTCACGTCCACGTTTTGCAACGCCGACGCTTCTCCATGTTTTACGTAATCCGTGGATGCGTAGTGGCCTTTTTCCTTAATGTATCAGACAGCTCATAGAGAACTATTCGTCGATACTATTCAGGCAGCCTAAGCAAATTATATTTATACTTCGAATCGATTTGTAATTATTCAGTCATGGCGCCAATCTTAAATTCTTAAGTCAAAGTTCTCGACAACGAGATTGGTCTATTGTTTTATATTTGTAGGAATATTATTGGCCCACGCGGTCTGCGCAGCACTCAAGACCAGACCGAAATTCAAAATTGCGACAACCTCCACGACGACGACCACAACTGAGGAGCCTCACGTGGAGGAAAATGAAAATGCAAATTCGGAGGTATAAAAAACTACCATATTTATAATAGCTCACAAAAGAGTAAGGTCGTTAATTCCAATAGTCCTATAAACTCGAATTTTAATTAAGATTTACGCTCGATCGATTTAACTTCATTATACAATTCTATATCCGCGATTGAAGTTGATAAATTCAATGAATTCAATTTATGACACTATAAATATTTCATTATTACTTAAAATTTCGTATTAAAGAACCAATTAAATCGACATTGTGCCCAATTCTGATGCTAGATGTAGCAATGTTATTCACGTAACGCATGCGAAATACAATTCGTTTGTCATTGAATGTTGTAAAACCGATTCCACAGTTACTATGAACATTATGTATGTATCAAACAAGTTCTGATTTCGCAAAACAGCGCTTCTTTGTGTATAAAAAAGGAATCTCGCGATATATGTATGTATATACGATACGAGTGCAGCAAATAAATTAATCGCTAATTAAACATCTTGCACAGGGTAGCTGCTTTCTGACAAGATAATGATAAGATGAACATCGTACATCGTAATCTAAATAATAAAAACATCACTGTATGTTGCATAAATTTAATTTGATCGGTTCATCAGTATCTGTATCTGCGGAGGCGTCGAAACACTTCGATTAATTTATGCCGGCGTCAAATTAATTAACGTTAAACTCAGACGCGCGCGACGAGTTCACCTTCGCACACAAACGAGACATCAAATGTGACATCATCAAATCGAACTCATCGTTAAACGTTATTGCACGGCGGCTTCTTGGAGCGTAAAATAACTTTTCTATCAGATACTAGTCTGTCGGACGTGAGGGCTTTTCCGTCTACGATGTACGGAAATTGTTATTATGACAAAATCGAATCGATTTCCTCGTATTTCCTGCAGAGAATGAAAGCTATTTTCATAAAATATGACATACAGGCATAAGTTTACATATTAATGTCTTCAAACTTTCGAAATACTCAAGCCTGTTAATTTTGTAAGATTAAGAAATGAAAAGTTGGAAGTCTCTTTTAGAAAAATTGTAACATTTATTCTTCCAGACGACAACTGTCGCGATCGAAACAAACGGGACGACAGGACACACTCTAACAGGAATTCCGCAAATCGATTACATATGGGACCCAAATCTACCGCGCGAGTTAAATGGCTATAATCTCAGTGATTATCCATTCTATAATAGTATACCCGAGGACATTGACTTCAAATGCGACGGCTTACATGACGGATTCTACGCCAGCGTGCCGCACAAATGCCAGGTAATTAATTTAATGACACTTATGTTGTAAAAATAATCAGCAATATCAGCGTTTCTCACATGTTTCTTTAGAAATAAAAAAGAAAAATATACACAATCGTAGTGTGCGATTTTACAAATGTCAAAGGATGCCTATTACACCAAACGACAATCTGACCAAAATCCATTTTTTAAAGCTTTACCACTATTATTTTGTAATCAGAAATATAATTAGAAACGAATGACAAACTAGAATTATTTTTTGGCAAAAAAACTGATGCTGTCAACGTTAACCGCAGTGACAGGAAAGTTAGTGTTGCCCGAATAAATTCAAAGAAAAGATCTATTTGATACGGCGATGTCTCTGTCGCGTAATAAGCAGGTGTCAATGATCTGAGAGCGTTACCTCGAGTTTATTGACGTTTCTAACGTCGATGAAAAACAATAATCACGATCCGATTTGTACCAATAATAGTATTTACGAAGAACTTGATTGATAAGCATCGACACCGACGCGAGCAGCCATGAACGAAAGCGAATTCTCGAACGAGATGCGAATGCAAAAAATGCGTATCGATTGAGCACACTTTTACCAATCATCGCTGAGAGCGATCGTTTCACCGTGAATCCTGGCATGACGGGATCGGCCTGAAAAACGACCAATTGAGAAATCAGTTGCAACGACGCAAATTTATTTGCCTCGTTTGAACAGACTCGAACTATTCTTCCGATGCAATTACGATATACAAACGAGTGGCAATTATTGCAATATACGTATAAAAGGAACAAGCGTAGGCGAAATCTGACGTAATATTCATTATATAAAATCAAGAGAAGATTAATTGTTTATCCTAACTTAAATCATCGATGACAAATTCTATAATGATACATTCGCATAGACTAATGTAGGCTATTTCGATGATGGTCAACACGAGTTTATAACAAGTATAATAACATATATTATAGTTGTGCACTCTCTAATTCATGCTATGATAGAATGATCGATATTTTCGAAAATTGTCGAATAATCGGTAAATATATCGCGTTGGTTATAAGCAACGGGGCAATATGAGTAGAAATCGATATCGAAAGTGAAAAATATTTTACCGGCCGCAATAACAAGGTCGCCGTGGAAGAGAACTTTCGTGGTTCGCTACGCTTCCCGTCCCTGACCGTTCTGCGATTCACGTGCGCGCGAAAATCCTACGATTGTGAAAGCGAAGGATTGCAAAGCAGCCTCTTTTCGACTCGGCTTGATCATCTCTTATCGATCATTTTCACGGGGCTGTAGAGCGAACGTACTATTGTCATGCAAATACCGTAAGCAAGATTCGCCGGCCGAGACGCGTGTGACTAAAAAAAAAAAAAGACGTCGAAAAGACAATTTACATCGTTGTGCAGCTTACAAAGGATTTGTCGCGGAAGAGAAATTGGGAAATGAGCAATTAATTTGCTGTGCCGGCTTCCTGCCAGGAAATCACTCGTGATCGCTTAGATTATTTTCTGATCTTTCTCGTAACTCCGAGCGGATTTACAATTGTAATGTCCTAGTGATTAATGTTTCCAAGCCTGAACGATATAAAGATCGTTGTAACGTCTACGAGTTAACTTAAAGTTTGTTAAGTTATTAACAAAACTAAGGATATGAAAAATTATACGGAAGAACTTGACAAATAAGAAGAAACGTTCTGAATAATTCTAACATCAGTTCTAATGCAAATAACCGCAATTTGTTCTCAGCATTCGGCATAAAGCAAGTTCTGACAAACATTTTACCAACTTTCCACCATAAATTCTTCACAGAGTTGAAACCGAGAACCAGAATTTCCCGAGAGAATTGATGCTTCGTATAAAATAAATTTCGCCGAAAAATTTTATCAAATATTTAATAAAATGTATTCTTAATAATGCAGCTAAAAGATAAATTGGGATAGGGATATATTTTTAACACAAGTTTTATATAATGACTTTAACTATACTGAAATTATTCTATACCGCACGAAGCTCATTAAACACACGATTAGGCATTCAATGATCGTCTGACATTTACATGGTGAGTTGAGTAAGATTCATGATCTATTATTGAAGAAGATTAGCAGCTAGACGCTTCTTTTTACGAGAATCTCAGTGAAACGGTGTCGAACGCTTACCGAAAGGATGTGCTCTGAATGATTCTAGATAATTCCCCAGATAATTCACTGATGTTTGTATGTTCCAGATAATACGGCGAGCCCTCGCACATTAACAACTCCTTTTTTTCTCTGTCTTTCTTTTTCTCATATCGCAGGATGCACATTTATATGACTCGATGCAATTATTTACTGTCGCACACATATAACCGTCGTGTGAAAGCTACGTGATGGCGTGCGGTAAGATCGTTCGCGTTTGTTCGCGGTGAAAAGTGTGCTAAATTGTCATGCCGACGTTTCTTTATGAAGAAGATGTAACAAAAGTCGGGAGTAAAAGTCGCGAATAAAAATGGAAAAAAAAAAACGTCTTCAAAAATCTCGAGAATCTGACATGTGGCGCCAATTCGTCGCCCACTTTCACTCATCGATCGATACGATTTCATAAACATCCGTCCATCCATCATAATTTATTTCGCCGATCTTAACGATCGTCGTTATAATTAATACGAAGCTAATTTTAGAAATCAGTTGATAATGACCGGCGTGTCACGCAATCATTCTTATATCTTGCTTGAATCTCTTTTCCAAGGTCTACCATCACTGTCTCTTTGGTACTCGCTACGACTTCCTGTGCGCCAATTTCACAGCATTCGACCAGAAGACCTTCATCTGTCACTTCGTATCCGAGGTCGATTGCGCCAACTCTAAGAAATACTGGCACAGAAACGATGCGCTTTATCAAGCTATCACGACTACGACTACTACTACGACCACCGTGGCGCCGGTTACCGTATCAACCAGTCGACCGGCTGTACGCGATCGAATTCCACCCAGGAGAAGACCACCAGCGAGAAGGAGACCCTACGATTACTACGAGGAAGACTATTACGACGACGAGTACGGTCGTCCGTCGCGAGATTTTGGTCGAGACGAATACGAGTACGAAGACTGGAAGTACAGGCGTGACAGGGATCGCGAATTCAGAGACCGTGATCGTGATCGCGACTTTCGGGAAAGAGATCCGCCATCGCGCAGCAGAGACGATAGAGAGCGAGATGCCACCAGAGATAGATATCTGGGTAGAGGCAACAGAAGAGATCCACCAAGATCGAGAGATCCGTTGGAGGATGATGACTTGAGACCGCGGGGAAGAAATCCAGATCAAGGAGTCAGAGCGGCGTCGAGGGAGGTCGATGATTTAGATGTGTACGATAGACGAACGGAATCGAGAAACAGAGATACCGATGATCGAAGATATTCCGATAAGAGGTGAGAGAGAAGCGTTGTTCGTCTCATCTGAAAAATCTCTGATATATATTTTACATGTGATAATATTTACATATGTCTTTTGATATCTCGTATTGTTTGAGTAACATTTACAAGATTTAATACGTTATTCACCCTAGGTATAGAGATGATTACGATGATAAGGAATCTGCAGCGCCTTCGGCGAGTGCTTCATCCAACGCGGAAGGGCTGGTAAAGCCAGCTGCGCCCAGCAGTTCGGTTTATGCAAGACCGAGAACACCGCCCAAGATTAGGCGACCTGTACCGCTCTCGGAGCAAGATAAATATGCATATAAAACCACTCCTGCACAACCAACAGGTAAAATTTATTTTTCTTGGAAAAATATTATTGAATCGCTGTTTTAAAAAAATAATAAAATTATAATTAAAGAGGAACCACGACGACGACCGGCAGATTTGACGGAGGATGATTATTACGATGAAGAAATAGAGGATGTTAGACCGATCAGAAGACCGCTCAGAAGAAGACCTTCATATAGAGACAGAGATAGAGACAGGGACAGAGATTTTTATGAAACTCGAGACAGAGATCGTTCCAGGTAAGATGACATTCACAATACCCTGCTACAGTTATATGTAATAAATTACTAATATAAGTTATATTCATATAAAAAGAGTTAAATTTAGAAAAATTAATGTATCATAAATTGATTGAATTGTAATATCATCAGCAATGAATCACGATAGTTATAAAAATATTTTAATAATGTAAATATCAATTCAATAACACCAAGATGGACATTCTTAATATATAATCATCGATATTTTTCCATTAAGTTCTAAAAAAATTTTAAAATTATTTATTAACTAAATGCGGTGATTGCAAAAATCAATTTATAAATCTTTAACGTGACCATTAATTTCACATTAATCATTAATTAACTAATAATTATTGATTATAGTAATTAATAATTTTTCTAGAACTCGTTATCATTCATCGCCGGAAGAAGTACGACCCAGAACACATCAGGATCGCTCCAGGGATCGTTATTATGATCGAGATAGGGATCGAGGTAGGGATAGATCTCCCGATCGTGGAAAAGATCGCGGTTCCGAGAGACCCTCGGATCGTGATCGAGGAAAATCGCAAGAGTCCGAAAGACTCTCAGATCGTGATCGAGGAAGATCGCAAGATCCCGAGAGATCCTCGGATCGCGATTTGCGCGGACGATTGCAAGATTCTGACAGGCAAGAACGACCACATTCGCCTCGGCTTCTTGACCGCGAAAGAGAATCCGAACGATCGCGATCGTCCTCGAGATCGAAGGATCTATCAGACGCCACTGAAGTATCCAAACGACCGAATTCGTACGATCGAACAACAGAGAAAACAACAACTACTACCACAACTACTACTACAACAACCTGCTTACCGGAACATCTTATTCATAAGTCCGAAATAGATGTCAAGGATGCGGTGACTGATCGATCGGAAAAGCCATCATATTCTGAACGACCATCCAGACCTACTCAGACCCAAAGCGATCGCGTTGCGAGTGATATTCAAGATTATCAGAGAAATTTGTCTGAGCAATCTCAGAGAACGTCTCAACAAACAGATTATCAAGACAGAGATCTGGAAAGTAAAAATGAACAGAGTCAGGTAACATATACGGATGAATACTTGTCGGAATATTACGATGAACCACTGGAAGATCCATCTCCGTCTCCTCCTCCACCTCGAACTGCCGTTCGAGTCGTAAAGAGGCCCTTCTTACCGTCTCGAGGTGGTAATCCTAATCCGAGAGGCTTGTCGCCAGTCGGTTCCAAAGCGCCGCATTCATCTAGAAGAGAGGAAGAAACAACTACTGATCATCAAAGCGCTGTAGACGAAAATGAGCATAAGACTTATTATGTACAAGAGGAACAAGAAGATGACAGAAACATCAATCATCAAGAATCACACCTGAAATCAGACAACAAACAGTACGATGCTTACAAATCCATTCAAAGTGATCAGAAGAAGCAACAGCAAGATGAATATGATAGCGCGATATTTAGACCTGTGTTACGAAGACCGGTCGAAAAACACAACGAAAAAGAGGAAGAAGAGGAAGTTTCAAGAACTCCGGAAGATCCATCAAATTTCTCCAAAGGATACTCCACTCAGAATCAATCTTACGATTTACGGAATCATCAAGATGAAAGTCTAACATCCAAGTGGACGGAGGATTATTCGAGTGACAAGTACGCGAATGCCGGCAACGTACAGACCAGTTCTCCGATTCGCAGTAAAGTCAGAGCCGAGACCACGCCGAACATCTATAGCTCGACGTACAAAAACGAGGACATGCCGGACCACCTGCCTTCGGGACCTGGCAATAATTACAGAGTCAAACAGAGAATCAACGAAGTAACGCATCGACTTCAGGATATCCCCGAGAGTGAATACGACGTTACTCTAAACGATGCCCTGACGCCGACCTTGATTCAGGAAACTAATTTACCAAGCGGATTCGTTCTACCTATTCATAGACAGCATCTGGGTAGAGACGCTGTGCTACAACCTTCCGAAAACAACTACAAACTGTCCAGGCCGATTAATCATCATCATCAGCAGCAGCAGCAGCAGCAGCAGCAGCAACAGCAGCATTCGCATCAACAGAAATCGTTCGTTCCGAGTCCTTCATTCCTGCCAACAAACAATAATAATGATCGAGCTCGAACGACGTATTACAGAACACCGGAAGCTATACAGGTCAATGGAGCGCAATACAGACAGCAGAGACAATGGCAAGACTACACCGTATATTGACAGATTATAATATCGAATGATGTATCGTATACGAAGGAGATTTGAAATTTTATCTTGTTTCACGAGCGACAAACGATTAATTTATACTGCCACCGATCGACTTACCTAGGAAAGGCACTTTTGTGAAAGAAATGCTGCTCACTTCTTTCTTTTATGAAACTGGCTTTCCGCAGACAGACACCGCGCGTTCGACACTTAGACTTGTTGTAATTAAAGATAATCAGTATCATTTGTTCCAAGACGTGCGACGTTTATCTCGACGCGTCGCATTGTTCCGAGGGTAGGAAATAATCTGTAAACGATTCAGTTAGTTACGCGATTCTGATCGCGAGGTTTCAAAATGATAAATTATTAATTAAAATTTAAAAATGAATAGAAATGAAAGAGACAGATTATATTATATGTAAATCATACCACGCTATTTCAAAAGGAAAGCATAATTTAAATATGGAATACAATGAGATATTAGTCATTCTGATACTTATCGATATTCATTATTATTCATGCATATCGCAATAAGAAATAAAAGCAGGATTAATGTTCAATAATCACATAGATAATTTGATCAATAATATTCTCCTCTTTCTTATTGCTAGTTGAAGAAATTCTATATGATTATATGATTATTAGATTCAATTGTATAATTATGTAAATGCTACAGAATAAGTTCGATGTTTCCTGCGAAGTAACGTGATACAGAAATTAAAGTTAAAACATGATATAATTTAATAATGATTTTTGCGATAATAATGCATTATTAATGATACTTGATCGAAATCGAAATCTTTATTGGAATGTTAGAGGTGCTGAAAACATTTATATAATATATATATAATTCTATTCTTCCTAATTCAAATAAACTTGTAAATAATTGTATGATTTTGTCCTATGTATATTCGTTATATACTGCAAGTTGCAATTCAAAATATAAATATGTTTCCCTGAAATACTGTATACATTAAATCCTATCGTGTTAAATTTGGATATTACTAGTAGATAAGTCTTCCTGAGCGTGTATCTTGTCTTAAAGCTATGTCGATATTTACGTATGATATAAAAGAGTGAGAAAATATACGTACCATTGTGTTATTCATTGTATTACACTGCCTTTCTTCATATATCTTAACACCAGCTGTAATACGTGAATATAAAAAATAATATCTAAAAATATTCAGTTGCAGAGAATTTTGAATACCTTTATTATTATAATACAAATGACATAAATTATACAACGGAATATCTGATACTACAAGAAACATTCATAGACATTATAAGACCGAGTCGAAAAATTTTGCAATCGTAGAGGCCACCAAATAATTTCATACTAAAGTTTCAAGCGACAATCTCTTTTTCCAGATAGCCTTAAATAACTGCTACTTACACTGCCTGTTAATGTGCGAGAAATATATATAGAGCAAAAATAATTATATATCGAACATTGGTATCAGTAACAATATGTAATATTTACATGAGAGAAAAATACTTCAAGATTAAATCGTTCATTGTGCCAAAGAAAATGCAGTGGTTCGCGATCAACGATAAAAATTCAGTCGATAATAACATAAAATACATCACAGAATCATGATTTAAAACTTAACAGAGCCACGCATACACAAATTATAATCGTTGTAAATATCTAGTTTTCCGACGAAAAGAAAAACATCTATAAACATAGATTTCTGGCGAGAAACCAGGATATTTAACAAATATCTACTATGACTTTTTGTATAAACGTGGCTGCAATATATATAGTAACAGTTAGATATTCAGTCAAATCATTGAAATGCATTGACCTCATAACAAATAAGCAGACAGTACTAGCCATACTTTGGATATGGTAAAAGTTAGTTGTCGCCGTACTAAAATGCAATAATAATTCGCCAGTACTACTCGTCATCCTTAGATTTGTACTTGCGAACTATAAAAATATCAAATCTCGATCGAGATGATTTGATCAAAGTCACTATACATTGAATAATTACTACGATTTAGGTTCTAGTGCATAATTCTGTACAAAAATGAGATAGAGTACAAGAATAGGATGCGTATACAATATATATATATATATAACTCTCGAAAGTTTACTTTGTGTATTAATCTTTCACGAGTCAGGGCTCGTACGATATACAGATAATATCTTCCTATATATCACGATTAGATTAAATTACAGGAAGAAATTGTTGGCAAGAGTTAGCATTCATGTGAATAGCGAAAAGTATTTACAAACTTTATTACATCGAAGAGATTAAAAGGTGCAGCATCGATTCTTTTGGTATAAATACAATCGCTTCCAAATTTCTTGCAGTTTAAAAGGTAACTCTGTCAAATTCACACGTTCATTATAATTTATTAGAATATTTCATATTACATTATCTTAGATAGCAAAAAGTAAGTACTAATTTAGATTCACAAAAATTTTGATTCAGAAAAAAATTTGGTTCATTCCATGATTATTATAAATAAAAAAAAGAATTAGAAAAAAATATTCAAAATAAGAAATTAACTGAAATATTATTAATATATGAAAAATTAATTGAAAAATTGTGTCGCCTGGAAAATGCAAAAGATCTATTCAAAAATTATTCAGTACTTATCATATATTTTAAGAATACTTTCTAAATAAAAAATTAAAATTATAATTTAAGAAAATATTTTTTTAATAGAAGAATTTAAAAAAAAATAAATTGACCCGTGCGTATAATCATATTACTACATCTAAATATTCCTGCAAAGAAGAATAATAGTATTCTATAAATGATGACAATAATAACGCAATGTTTAATATACACAAAATTTAGGAAAATTTTGCATATATAAGGAAGATAGTGACACAAAAGGAATAACCACTGAATTATTATATACCTATATTAATATTACGTAAAGTTTACTGACCAGCTTAATATCAATGTAAAAAATTATGCTCTCAGTGAATGCTTAAAATTATCATAAACGCAGTCCATTATGCCATATTCTTTACAACCATCACATATAAAAATTTGACGACTAGTGCGAGTAGCAACATTTTATATATCTCCGATAAATGAAATAAGTCAAAGTCTCATGAAAAAATATTTCTTTACCTTGTAATTAATTCAAATAATTAATTTAATAATTAATTTATTATAATTATGTATATATATATATATATATATATATATAATTATATAAATTATGTAATTATAAATATATAATTATATATTATTATAATTATGAATTTTATATCAATCAACAAACTTGACAGTTTGATCCTGCTTATAAAAATGTAATTACTCGCGCGAGTGCATCTTTGCATTTGGCCTCGTAATTCATTTCACTCTCCATCTCTTATGTAGTAGAACCTTTTCCGCTGATGCTTGCACGCAATTACATGGTAATGTTTCTTAAAAGTAAAACACACAAGCGTCGTCGATCAAATATATGTACGTGTATCAAAGTTTACTAGAACTCATCACACCCGTAACTACGTACATATTATCAAGAGAAGCGTACATTGCTCTCGTTTATTCCCGCGAGTTTTGGTCAAGTGCCTTTTATACACGTTATATGTGCATTTGTTCGCGTTATAAAATGTTTTCTTTTCCTTTTTTACTTATGCTATCGGCGGATCGTCGTCGTCGTCGTCGTCTCTCGTGACTAGGACATTACCGTAACGATTGTGACGATACTGCCGAAATCGTTGTAGCCATTTGTATCGTCTCGCACCAAAATACAGTAGTACACCGACTACTATGAGGAAGGTTGGTATTAGCAAACCTGCCGCTACGGAGTTACCTGAATTAATTGATTGAGATTTTAGTCACCAGCGATATTGTCCAATTGCTGCTGATTTATTTTTAGTTTGTATCAGCTTTTCTATTTTCCTTATCATATCAATAAATAAACAGTGACGAAGCTAAACAAAATTATCTAATCGCGAGCTAAGATATCCATAGGGGAACCAACTATGTTGCTTCCTAAAGAATATTTTTGAAAAAATAATAAATTTTAAAACATCCTAGCAATGGGAGAAAGCCTTTAAATCTTTCACAAGATCTACATTTTAGGAGCAAAGGAATATTCAACGACGCATTAATTTGCTTCAATGTGTTTTTCGGCGTGCACGTACCTCCTGACTCGGATCTATGCTCAGGCTTAAGGGTGGTAGCATCGACACTCGCTGCCGCAGATGTAATTCTAATACAATCGCCGTTAACTAAATGAAAATCTCGCTGGCACTTGCATTGCGGCTTCTCGCTGTTGATGGTTACACATCTCTCATTCTTACCGCACTGCACATTCCCCAGCGCCGATATATCGCACGACTTCAAATGCGTTCCATCGTCGCTTTCTGAAAAGAATCGCCGTCAATACATTAAAGCTGAATGAATCGCTGAGAAGGAGTTGCGACCCAAGCGCGGCGCCAGCATTCTTTCAGCTTGCATGTGAACTGAGACTCATGATTCAGATCTTCATTTCATGTACTGCTCTGTACGTATCTCAAACGAATTAATAAAACATTAAAACATTTCTTCTCATCATCTCAATACAATTTAACATTTTATGAAAAACTACAGAATCTCAAAAATATATATACTATAAAAATATATTATAATGAAATAATTGTATAATGAATGTATAAATAATATAACTCTCTTAGACGTACCATTTATATCTAAATGATAAGAAGAAAAACATTAGATATCGGCAACATATTTCAAAACAGGAAATAGATTTCCGAAATAGAGAATAACAGGAAATAGATTTGTGAAATCAAAAATTACAAAATAATAATCAATAATATGAGTCATCACGTTCAAATTATATATAGAACTCAATTCAAACATTTTAACTAGTTCACTGGTAATGGCCCATATATGTCCAAAAAAAAGTGCCACAACTGGTAATGGCCCACTATGAATAATTTTGCCAATTTTCAATGGATTTGCATGAAACTTGATACACTCACATTTTTCGGGTCGCTGATGACAAATTTGGGATCAAAATTCTAAAATTCAAAATGGCGGATTTAGTATGGTGAATTAATTTTGTTATTCTATTATTATATTTGTTATTCCATTAGAGAAGATTCAAATTCGATATGTTCAAGTTTGAATGTTTTAAACTAATCCGTTATCTGCTACCAAAAAACCTGCCGAGTGTTGAATTTTGAAATTTCGACTCTTGATTCATCACCAGCGACGCAAAAAACCCCATATAGATAAATTTTCATGTAAAATATGAATTTATTTACTCTCACCAGTTTTGGCACAAAACATTGATTTCGGGTGTACTAGTGAACTGATTAATGCCTTAATTTATTTAATATGAAGCACTTGTTACAACTAGCTGTTACGGAACAAAAAGAAATCCGCCTTGTTTATTATATGTTGTTTATTATATGATGCTATTAAATATGTTATATGATACTAGAATGATGTTATTAAATTAATCACAAATCATATTCAGATAATTATAAGCATAAGACAATTTTAAAATTATAATTGCAATTTTTTTAAGGTAACTTGATTTTTTAGTCCTATATTATTATTATATTACCCTACATTATCCTATATTATTATTTATAAAATAATAATAAATAATAATATAAGGAACAATTAAAGGAACAATTTGATAAACACAACAGAAAGAGAAAATTTGAATCATATTCTGGTTATTGCACACCCTATTCTTGTAAGAGATTAACTATTCCAAGAAAACATTAAACACATCATTTCATAAAAATATTATTAAAAAATCTTGCATTCAGTATATACAGGTTTCATGAAATGTGTGTCATACAAAAGCTTTGTTTAAATTAAACTTCGTAAGAAGATAAAGCGAACAATTACTAAGCAATACAACATACATCCAAACATACATCAATGATTGCATGCATCATGCTAGAATTAATCAAACGTATCACGTTTCTTATTTCTTATCGCCGACCAACTGTTTCGTTATCTAATCCAGAAGACACAAAGAAGCACGAAGATGAATGACATTTTCATACTACTCTATCGAGCCCGCGTGATACATGATTGGCTGAATCAGTTAATTGAGACGAATTCGTTTTATCAACAGTATACACGGAGGTTAACTGAGGCTGAGAATCAAGCGTATTAAGGGACCTGTTTTTGATTTAAGATGACTGGTGTGGCATTAATTCTATAACATCATTCCCGACATGATTTGCTTCGTTGAAATATTGACAAGGAAATATGCGGAAATAAACATTGTTACTGTTACCCGTATAAATATGTCCGTCGTAAAATACATTAAAAAAAATTTTTAATCATTATGTCAATATTTTTATCATCGCGAATAATTTAATATTACATTATAAATACTATTCACATTATAAATATGATTTTACAATGCTATCAGATTTTACATCAATCAATCACAAAACACGCTAGATATAACTGCATAATTCAGATCGAAATTTCTGTCATCGATGTCAAGTTTTGACAATTCCGGAGGTTCAAAGTATCGTATTCGGTTTCGATTCGTTTATTATTCTGTAGAATCGCGTCATCAATACAATAGGAGGGAGAAACGAACGTTTTTTCGCGATAACGTCGTAAAATCGGACTGCGTGAGCACAAAGAGTCTGTTCAGGAAATATCACAACGGCGAATCTTTGTTAAACTACTCCAGAATCGGAAGTTTCCGTTCGAAAAGATATTACTCTTTACCGCGAGTTAAGAATAATATATAAACACAGATATATTTATGTATGAGAATTATTTAACTCCATTCTCTTTTCTCTAAAATAAAATCGGATTTAAAACGATATCAAAACAAAAAATGAATAATTGTAATCATTATGAACAAATAATCGTTTAAAATCAAAACTCTAAAATCAAGACTCTAAAATCAAGACTCTAGATTATTTGCGTACAAAATAATTTACTATAAAATCTTACAATTAGTCCATATATCAGAATCGGAATTCCCAAAGTAAATAAAAAAATTACAAATACTAATATTAAGAAAAATATAATTAATATAACAATAAAGTGATTATGATTATGTATATAATATTTAATGCCTATTTTTATACAATTTGAACGATAGTTATTTTGAATTATTATATTGAACAATGTATTGATAACAATAATATCAATACAATCAATATCAATACAATCAATATCTTAAATGTATATTTCGAATAAAATGGAAGATATAAAATCATATCAGTTTATTGTTATTATTATCATTTGACATTTTATTATTATCATTTGACATTTCTAGATAAATAATTCATTGTCGCTGATACAGTAAAAAATAATTAAAAAAATACAAAATAAAGACCCAATGCCTTGGCGCGCGGATTCTTAAAGTAACGCGTTATGACGATAAGACTTTCAAACTCTCGAAAAGAAATATTCCTCGCGTGTTTTCGCTCAATTTCAACTATCCAATTTCGCCGGACCGAATTTCGCCACGTAAACGCGAGTTCGCCAAAAGATTTCATGTGTGCAAGCGTAATACAATACTCCACTATATACTTATCTCGTTTATTATGCATAAGCCATACACGCAAATACAGTAGTACATGTACACTCGCGTAAGACAAAAATTTTGACTTTTGAATTTAAAATATCAGGACATATTTTACATATGCATATTTTCTTAAGAAAATTAATTGAAGAAGAAATACAGGAAAAAATGCGAAAGACGCTCTGCATCGACCGATATTATTAAGTAAATTTATTTTTAACCGATGATTATATTTCGCGTTATTAATACTTTGTATATTTTTTTATTATTCCGTACAAATGCGTAAGGAATGGGCCACGTGTGGTACGTGCAATTTAAATAAACCAATGTATATAAGAGTGCAAGGTGGGCGAGGGAAGTCGCGCATTTCTTCGCCTACTGAAGGCACTTTAAAATATGCTGCGAAATATACGAACCGATGTTTGCACACTCGCGAATACCGTTATGCCAGTTTTCTTTTCGATGAATTCTTTACGTATATACTTATATAATCTTCCGGTTATTTAAATTAATAGAAGGAGTTTCGCGCTGCAACGTGTAAAAAACGTGTGCAAGAGCGTCGCTTTCGATGATGATTCAATCGACACAAATATCCAATTAATAAAAGCGAATAAAACAAGATGATCGGCATTATAAAACCATCTACGACATCCATCCTTATTGTTTTCGAAAAAACATTTATAAAAGAACAATTTTTTAAGATGAAGAACAAATTTTCTTTGATACATCATAGCATTGATGTGTATTGAATAGTGCAAAATGTATATATTATATCAGTATGCGTATAAATATATGTATGTATATGTATGTGTGTGTGTATTCTTAATTGAAATGCGTATATTTAAAATGTAATCTCATCTCTATTAGAAATATTTTTTTGTTATAAAGTGTCAACACAAAATAGAGAGTGAAATAAAACAAAACAACCATAAAAGATTAATTAATTTATCTTACAGAAACTATCATGTATCAAAGTATCAAATATCAAAACTGACAACATGGAAAGAGAAATGCATGCAATAATATATATATATATATATATATATATATATATATATATATATATAAGATAAAAATATCCAGCTCGTAAACATAATTAAGCAGAAATAAATATAATTCGATATTTCATAATGAACTTATGCATCACGATGTCGATTTCTACCCCGAAGCTATTAACGATTATGTCATGCGAGCAAAAGGTATATCAGATCGATGGATCGACAACGCAACACAAGATAAAAGAACACAATTCGTCTTTTTAAAGAGAAAATATTACTTGTATTTAAACGTCATTAAACGTCATTAAAAGTCATTTAAACAAAGTTATTCGGGAAAATACGCTTTTGCAACGAAGCGTTTCAAATTAATTTTAATTTCGCAATGCGACTGAAATGTAAAGACGCAAGAAATTCTTAATTGATATGTGTATAAGTTAGTTCTAAGCATGATGCAATAGTTATTTAGTTGATTATTTTAAAAAATTGATATGAAAATGTATGCATTTAATGGATATTTAATTACAAAAACATTATAATACAATATATACATATTTCTCTATTTATATGTTATTATTTATATATAATTTATATATTAATATTTATCTATTTTGCTTCGAGATATTTTATCTTGAAATTCAACGGACATTATGTCAATAGCGACTGTCGCTACTCAAACGAAATTTCCATCGATATCGAAGTTTTTCAGAGTAACTCGTATTTTTAGTTTGACTTTGTCAACCTTGGCGCCAATTATATATGTACATTTGCTCTTCTATCATATCACATGCAATTATTATAAAGCGCGATATCGCTAAATTATCGCTACATGTATTTCCTGTAATTCCTTGAAAAAAAATGCAAAAACTACATATATTAATATATACTAATATATACGTAAGACGTATTTCAAATAACTTCGAGGAAAATTACCAGAAGTGTATTTCCGTGGAAATTTTTCGCGTAGCAAAAAGTACATTCCCGACGCTATATGTGAAATTACCGGAAAGAGAAATGCGTCACGTGTCGATCTCGATTCCGCGTAATAGCGCGGAGGGTGCTCTCTCGTTTCTCGAATCGGAGAAAGACAGAGATGAACCGTAGAAACGGGGAGATGAAAGGGACAAGGGGAGACCGAGAGAAAGAAGGAGGGAGAGACAGAGAAAGAACGACGGGAGAGAGAAGCAGAGAGAAAGAGAAAGAAAGAGCGGAAGAAGATTATTGTGACTAAGTTGGGGTGACTGCCGTGGATTGCACGGACGAGCTAATTTCGCTTCAATTTACCAACGAGACAACAGAGAGGCTCGACAGAGTCTCTCGCAATTTTATGCGGGGATATTTAACGAAAATGAATATTATTCGCGCTTATGCGTGTACTCACCTGCACGGTCGAGCGCAGACAGAACAACAAGAATCGCCACGATGAGATAGCGGAAAACGTTGGTCCGCGTGGTCTGCATTTTTCCTCGACTTTCTTCCTGTTTTCCTTGCGTAGTTATCTCGGGGCTCGCCGATCACATAATAACAAACGCGGTTATTCAAAGGTCGCCCGCTACGCTCACTCGCGTCACGCTCTCTCTATCGCTCTCTCTGTCGCGCACTTGCCGCCGCCGCGTCGTCGTTGCCGTCGTTGTCGCCCCGTCGCCTCGTCGGGAAAACGGAGTCGCGCTTCTCGAGTCTTACGCCACGCCGGTTCCAAGCTCAACGGACGCGCGTCAGCCGGCGGCGCATCACCGTTCGTCGGCCGGCCGCCACCGCTTTTGACAGATAAATGCTACGCCGCGCGCCGCGGAACGCGTTCAATCATCTGTTATTAAACGACCATTTGCAATTATTGAAGCCAATTGCTCCGAGGAGTCGCCGTCGTCGCCGCCGCCGTCGCCGCCGTTGCCGGTCGACTGTTCGTTCCGTGGCTTCGCGACTGCAGCGCTCGAGATATCAAAACACGCCGCGCCGCGGCGCTGCGCGGCAATTTCGAAATCGCAAAAGTATCGCGCGGATTCGCGACTCCAAATTCCGTCTACATCGTTTAACTTTCTAATTCGATGCATTATACATTCGCTTTCTAATATCCGCGAAATGCTAAACGATCCTTGAAAATGCACCCTCGATTCGATTTATAGTCTCGTGTGCGAAAAACAATAAACATTAAAATTAATTGTAAGAGAATGGAAGATTTTATATGCAAATTGTAGGGTTTAGAGGATGTACTGATGTCATTTATAAATAGCGACATTTTAAATGTATATATATTATGTGCTTTACGGAATCCACCTATATACGTTGACAAGGAAGTAGCTTGTATAGAACGACAACAGCGGCACGTGTGTGTCATGGCGAATGCTGTTGTCAGAAACGCCGCAAAGTGAGTCTCGCGTTGCTTGGTTGTAAAATTGACGTAAACTGACTTAAAAGCGTCGCTATGAAGGAGGATTCCGTATTGAGTTTCAAATGGCAGAGCTTTCCCTCACATATGGTGGTTTCCCTTGACACATGTTACGAAAAACAACAGTTCGTCGACCTTTCGCTGGTATGTAAAGACAACACGATCCTGAAATGTCACAAGATGGTATTAGCTAATTCCAGTTCGTTCTTCCACCGATTAATCATGGCCAACGATCATCCGCATCCGATGATCGTCCTGCACGACGTCGAGGCCGACGACCTCAAGACTCTCGTAAACTTCATGTACTGCGGCGAGATACAGGTAGTTCAGAGCGAGGTTAGAAGACTGCTCAAGCTCGCCGAAACTCTGGAAGTTACCGGATTGCGGCATATCCCATTGTCAGTACTATCCGGAGAAGATGCCAACAACACTGTGAAGGAGCACTGCGATATATGGAAAAAAACTGCCACGGTGTCACGATTAAAGTTGGAGGAAACTAGAAGCTCGCCCAGCAAAAATAACAGTTCTGAACAGGACATAAACACAAAAACGCAGAGTAAAGTACCCGTACAGCCAAAGCTTATTCCGAAAATAAATCCTCACAAGACAGCGATTAAAGTTCCTCATGATACGACAAAGAAAAAGGAAGAGATCAGTATAAATGAGCTATATCAACGACTGGAGAACAGCAATTCTGGTATCAGCATCATAGACATTAATGATATGCCGAGTACAAGTAAGGGATTACCAAATATACCTACATTACAAAAAAGAAAAGAACCCTCGGATTCTGTAATCAATTGGCCGCATGTGTTATCCACGATTGATAAATCGCTACCGTTCAAGAAATTACGTTGTATCATGGACGAAATAGAGATTACAGCGACAGGAAAATCACCTGTTCCTGTAGTAGACAGTAAACAAAATGACCCTTTAGACAGAAGGAAAATTAAGAAGAGTTCCAATGAAGATCACAGTATGAACACAATTTATATAAAGGATGAAATCGACATATCTTCGGATATGGAGGAAGATGTGGATATGGATCCTCTTGAGGTTGACGATAATGACAATGAGAATTCGGAAAACAGTAAAACGCCCACACAACAGTTCTTTCCACAGATATTATACTATACATTAAAAGCTCCACCTCCTTACCCAGAATATTCTGCCAGAAAAGGTCCAAACAGTTAATGCAAAATTTCATAAACTGGAAAAGAATTATATAAAAGTTTCATTTATATATTACGTGTTGTCATATATTTAACATTTACATGACAATGATATGACTTTGATTATTTATATGATATTGCTCTCAATTGCTGTTATTTTCTTCAATGTTTTGTTATATCGTAACTTTTCATAATAAAATTATACAAGGTAAAATTTGTTTTACAATCCAAATCCTGTTTAAATAATAATCTACCAACACTTGCAATAATTTAATTAATTAATACTGGTTAGTATAAATATATAATAGATACATATGTAGCACAACAAATCATAACTATGACAACATTGTTATGTTTCTATAGAAACAAATTACTTGATATTTCTTCCTATATAGTGCATTTGCCAGCTTTCCTCATTGTTTATACAATTTTTATATAAAAAGAAATGGATGTGAATACAAAGAATGAAATAAATTATGATAAAATAGAAGAGACAAGTCATATTATTAATAATTTAAGTTCTGATAAAAATGTAACTGAGGAAGAGTTTCAAAATTTCATGCATCGTGTTACCGAAGTAGGTAGGTGTTCAGGTGACTGCGTGTCACAAATTTATATTTTTCAATAATATTCCTTATTCAATAATATCCATATTCAAGAAAAAATAGTTAAGAAGTTAGCATCTTCTGATCCAAAGGAGCAAGAATATGGAAAAATGTTAGCCGATGAAATTTTAGAAAAAAATATTCAAAAGGAAATTTATGAAGATGGAGAGATAAAAATTAAAACTAACCGATCAATAATTAATAAACATTCTTCAAAAGAAGATAATTCCTCCAATGATTCAAACAAAATGTCGCGAGGTAAGTTTGAATATTACAGTACTATCATTAAACAAATGCAATTATAAATCGATATTCAATTTACATATAAAGAGAAATGTTTTATAATTTATGTAGAAACGTTTATAAAGAGCATAGAAGATGACGCTAAAAAACGGACTGAAGATCGCAAAATTAGAAATGAACGAGCAGAAACATTAAAGAGAATTGCAAACGGTGCATTCAAAGAAGGGGATTACGAAAAGGCTGTGACTTATTTTAGTAAAGCTTTAGAACAACGTAAAGATTCGTCTGTACTGTGGAATAATCGCGCGTTATCGTATATACGTCTCGGATTATTCGAAAAAGCCTTGCACGATTGCGAATGGGCGTTAAAAGTGAATAATTCAAATTTAAAAGCTCTTTTGAATAGTGCTAAGTGTTATATAAATCTTGGAAACAAGGAGAAGAGTAAAGAATACATACAGATAGCCAAAGAAAGGAATCCTCATTTCAACAAATTTATTAATGGTATTGTTGAATATATATAATTTTTTTAAATAACTTAATTTCATATCACTTTATATAACAACTACTTTGTATTTTACAGAATTTGAAGAAAATTTAGAGATGCAAAAAATTTAACCAATTCAATATTCATATAATTAATGAAATATAGTAGAATATCTCAAAGAGATAATATCAAATATTGTTTCGTATAAAGTAATATAATAAATTAGCAATAAAAATATATTTGTAGCATATACTTTCTTTGTAATTGCCTAAATATTAAGTAATATCAAGATGGTTCTGTTTTTACTGCATTACTTTCTTTCATTTCTGATAAAGATCTTGGTTCATGTAAAAAAACTGTACACTCAATGCCCTGGAAAAGCATATAATGTGGTTAATATAGTATAAACTTGTAAAAAAATAGACAAAAAGATTATTCCTATATGATGCATATGTTTACCTGCATACGTGCCGCTCTTACAAATCCTTCATTGGCAGAAACAGTGATACTTTTCATATTTTCGCCCGTTGCGAAAACCAATCGCGATCGATCTTTAATTTTGCCGCCTAAACGCAGTTGCATAACTCGACCAGTAGTTATATCATCAACAATTCGAACTTTTTTTAACAATTCGTGAGCCCGCAGCGTCTCTTTTGGACCACCAATGACATCGATGATATTCATAAAATTACTGTATGCTGTCTGACAAATTATGAGTTCCTTCTCATGAAACAAATTTTCCAGGATTGGTTTTATGGGACGTTTTCTTTCCATCTCAGATTGTTGCGTAAGCAGTGGTTCACGATAAATATAATTATTACATCCATTAGACATATTTGTAACATAAGCCAATAGCGTCGATACATCTAGATTTAGGAGTTTAATCTCAGTTGAGAGTGCAGATGTATTTAACGAATGTAAATCCAAGTCCTGTTCGGAATCATTCACAGAATCTTTTAGCAACTCCAGTTTATCGTGTTCTACCTCTAAAGAATAAATATATATTAGTCAAATTATTTTCATACACTATATATAACTGACTTTCTTTGGATATTTATCATATATTATACTGACTGTTTAAATTCTCATTATCCACATCTATTCTATCTCCTTCAACTATAATGCCCATTTGTTCCAAACGTAAAGCTAGAGGAATCTCTATGCCATAAGCAAAGTGGAATATCACATCTGGTGGCTTGTAGCGATATAGATGATATTTGCTAGACATAAGATACGAATTAGCTTGATCTAGAACAGATTTCTGCCCATATTCTCCTTTACCAAGGGATATCAAAGTTAACGCTCTAGCATTTCTCGCTATGACTTTTATCCATGAAGCACCATTATTACATACTATATCAACTTCCAGACGTGACTTTTGATATTTAAAAGGTCTCATCACACTGATGAGATCCTTAGCGCAGAATAATCTAGTCACTATAGCGTTAAGGTGAATCAGATTTGTGCTCTGTAAGTGTTTCTTCTTCAAGTTCCCTGCACAATGCACCTTTCCAAAGAGAAGATAAAATTATTATTAATTATTAATCTGCTGGATAAATTTGTACTGATTCTATTCCATCAGCATAGCTTCTGGCTTTTTATCTATGTCTATATATTACAACAGATTTTACTATTATCTTAAATACATTTGTCCATTGTCTGCATTTAAAATAAATAATGTATGTATACAAGCTTTACAAAAAGTAAATTAAAAAAAGAGAGCAACATATTTAACATTGATAATAAGATATATAGACAATTTAGTCAGCGATTTAACGCTACTTAATTTTTAGCAAAATCGACAAAAATATACGTATCTTACTTTCTCTAGAAACTTTATCTCTTGTTGAATCTTTCGTATCAGTTTCTCAATCCCGTCAATCTTATCCTCGAGCTTTAATCGCTCGATCATTTTGCGGCCATTGGCGATTTTCTCCTCGAGGCACTGAAACAGCTCGTCCTTGTCTTCCATGGTCGCGGAGTCCCCATCGACTGTCCGAACGAGCGAGTCCTTTCTATCGTCGCACGTGACAATTCCGTGCGGTGTGCGAGAACGTCGGCGAGCGTAGTGCGCGCGGCCATCTTACGCCGCAGGTCAATATCACGCGCCGCGTAATGTCGTCGGTTTATGTCAAAGGTAGCTGAAATTAACCTCACAACTTTTTCGCTCCGACAAGTGACAGTCGATGCCGACGTGCGCGAGTCACGGTGCGACGTTACGTGCCGTTGCAAAACGGTGACGCGGGGCAGTGTCAGTGAGTGCGAGACGACGACGCGCCGACAGCTGACTTGCTCGAGCGCGACGGAGTCACAGTGTCATCGTGAACCGCGCCGCGAGCCCGTCAAGCCTCTGGCCGGACGGAGATAGTTATCGCTCGAACATAAAATTTCGCGGAGGAGATGTCCAGCGCCAAGATCATAGAGAATCCAGAAGTACCGGGTGAGTTGGTCGGCTCCGGAACGAACCCTTCTCTCCCCCTCGATTCGTTCCGTCGCTTCGCAATAGCGTGCGCCTGTGTGTGCGACACAGCGGAGCACAAAAACGTCGGTGTCACGAATAAAACGAAGTAAAAAAAAATCGGCTCCCGGCCGTGACGAGATTATTCGTGGAATATCTTGTCGGTCTACCAGATGTGCAAGTCGGGAGATCGACAAGCGTGGTGCGGATTTAATCCGCCATCAGTTGGATAGTACTCGCTATGAAACTGCCATCGTGATCCGCCGGACGATTAGATGATTAGCGTGTATGCATTGACGAGTAAATTGTGAGCATCGTACTCGCAGGAGCGCACGTAGATCACGCGATATGCGAACGCGTAACACATTATATACATTTATATAGATTTGACCTGTAATATGATTTCCGGTTTCGGTCAAGGTTTTATTAAGCATAATCACAATATTTACTAACGCTTTACGTCGATTCATAGCAGAAGTTTATCAATTAATCCAAGGCATGTTTAAAAAATCCAGATATCCAAATTTCAAGATAAAAATAAATTAATATAAAATTTCAAGTTTATATGTGTGATAAAATACTTAAATATGGATATACAAAATATGTATAGGCGTATATATTTAAATTATAATTAAAATTAAAGTATAATATAATGACGTTTAAGTAACAGAGTCAGCAAAAAATCATGCTCAATAATTGTAAAATATATTATATAATTCTAAGTATAAATGATAATAAATAATGATAATAAAGTGATAATAAAAAAGATAATAAGATAAATAAGATAAATAATAAGATAAATAATATAAATAATAATAAATATTAATCATATCATTTAGATTAAAATAATATAAATGATAATAAATATTAATTTGCTTATATCAGAATATTCCAAAAATGAAAAAAAAATGCGACTTGGAGTCTTTTTTGTCTGTCATCGTACAATATTCATATTTATATAGAAGCTGTGCTATAAAATATGTATCTGTTATGTACATTAGTTTGCAAATAATATTCAAGTCATCAAGCATTTAACAAGCGTTCAAATAAATTATGCTATAACTATGACGTAAACGTGTGATAAGCTAAATATATACAGTTGTCTGGACGCTCGGGACGTATTATCGGTGAAAACTTTAAAGAATGTAACGTCGTGTTGCTTTTGTACTTAGCCGATCGCGAATTAACACTACGTGAATGTATTGCGGGCAATTAAATACAATTCCCTCGTAAATTATAAACGCGCGATAAAGCATCTCGTCTTAATCGCCATGCAAAGCCATCGCTTGTTTCCTCAGTCACTTTTACATTTTTCCGCAAAACCGGAAGCAATTTGCTCGCCGTGGTAATTAACGCGATCGTAAATTTCTCGAAATTTTGGCAGATTGAGCACCGGTTTGTTGTTGAATATATTATAATCCGGATGCACTAATAAACTCACTGTTCGGATGCACTCGATCAAAGTTAAACAACTCTCTTTATTCGCTTATTTTACTGTTAGAGGCTAAATAATGGCGGAAATAAATTTAAATAGCAGCAAATAATACAAAACGTGGACCGCTACATAATTATTTTACGTGTCGTAAATTTGAGAACTTTTTACGTGTCGTAAATTTGAGAACTGTTTTATGAAAAGTTTGAAAAATTGTCGCACTAAACAGCGGGATACGATTTTCAAAAATGGCTAGCCTTTTTCCTTTTTTTAAGCGAGAAAAATGTGCTACTGTTCCGGGATGAAGAGCCCATTTTTCTTGCCTCGAGACTCAGATGATCCTCCAGAAAACTTCCGTTTATTTCAACTTTCTCGCAATAGGATTCGAATGTTTTCTGCCACCGCCACCGCCACCGCCGCCACCGCCGCCTCCCCCGCCACCGCCACAGCCTTCTTCTTGTTTGAATAAACCCTTGGACAACAACAATGGGCACTCGACAACGACGCAACAGCAACGAACGACGAGCGAGAACGTGATGACCGCTGCAACAGCACCGATAGCGACCGGCAACGACGGGGTTCCTTCGACCCTTGGTACGTTCCCGAATGTACTCCCTGTGCCATCGAGTCCGTACATGCTGCATCCGACGATGCAACCGCAAACTCCCGGACAGACGTCAACCCCAACCCCATGGTGGATACCCACCGACAACGATACCTCGGACATTTACGCCCAATGGTACGATCCGACCTATAAGGGTGCATCAGCCGCGACAACGGTCTCCCCCGTGGCGACACCAGCTATTGGGAAAAACAAGAGCAAGAATTTTTACAAACGCAAGAACGAGTTTATCGATCCCGCACAGGATGCAGGTAACTAAAGGCAGTAGTGCGTTTTGAAAATATATCCGACTATGTTGTATGATGTAAATTTAAAAATGGAGAAAATAACGAGTTATTATATATATATATATATATATATATATATATATATATTGTACTATATAAATATTTAAGCGAATATTAACTCTTTTGCATTGATTTCTCACAGAAAAAGTGGCGAGTGCGCAGAGGGAATTGTCGGGACTGATGAAACCGCTCAAATGTGATCTGTGCAATGCAGTCGTAAGGCTCGGTTGTAATCATAATTGGATAATTAAAATGAATCTTTCCATTTAAATTTAGTTTAAATTCCAACAATAAGTTCGCGATGTATAGATCTTTCACATTGAAAAAATTGAGTATCGTGTATCGACGAAGCAAATCGTACTTTGCAGATGAACTCCACGTTGCAAGCGAAATTGCACTATGACGGCAAGCCGCATCAGAAAAAAGTATCCATGTTTCTCAATCAGAGCGTTAAAAAACAGAAAACGGAAGATGGCCAAGTGAGCAGTACGACCAATAACGACTGGCAAAACTACTGTGATGTAAGAGGCCTCCAAAATGTGTTTTGCCTAAAATTATGTATTTATACATACATAAATTAATATGTACCTCGCATACGATCTGCATTGCTAGATATGCAAAACGTGGTTCACTTCGCAAACAGACGCCACGCAACACTACGCGGGCAAAAAGCATATTAGAGCAGCAAACGGTGGGCCACGTGCAAGGTATGTAGGTGCATATGCACCATGTTTCTAAATTAATTGTTACATTAATAATTTATATATATATATATATATATATATATATATATATATATGTAGGTGTGTGAGTGAGTGCGTGTGTGTATGTGTGTGTGTGTGTGTATATATATGTATATATATACAATAAGAAATTTGATTTAATAATATCAATTTCACACACTGTATAGCGCGCACGTTGATACTGTAGAGTGAGAATGCGATTTCATAATGACAATAATAAGATGTTGTGTTTCATAGGCCCTCGAAAAAGTCGCAGAATCAAAATCAATACAATCAGGTGGATTCGACGGGTCGCTTCGGAATTGGAATAGCTTTCCAGGCGGACACGCCCGCACCGGCCGCGGCACCGCCAGTGGTGACAGAAACCGCCGCGACGCCAAGTCCAGCGGCTGCATCCATCTTTGCAGCATCATCGTATCTCACACCGTTGCGTTGCGATTTGTGTGGAGTTTCGGCCAACCGTCAGGATCAACTAGAGACGCACAAACGCGGAGCCCGACATTTAAGGATGTTAAGGCTCAATGGACTCGCTGTGCCTGAAACCGGTAATATCCGTGAACGAGATACATATATATTGCGCGATAATTTGTTGAAGCTTCTTATTCCAATTTCAGTTGAAAACGAAAACGTGTCCAACGTCTCGGAATCTATAGATTATTCTATTTATCGGACACCATCGGGTAAGGAAATATATACATATAATATATAGAAAAAATTCGACAAAAGAAAGTTTAGTTGCACGATTAATAAAATATTAGCAACAATGGATTCTTTTTTTGTTTTGCAGGTCAATATTACTGTGCACCGTGCAACCTATCATTGAATTCGGAGACTACGTTTGCTCAACATGTAGAAAGCAAGAAACATAAAAATCAGTCTAATCCAAAGTTGCCCAATGCCGTAGTAGCGGCAAAAAAAGCTAGATTCAAGAAAAAATAAAACCGATAATTACTTTTTAATGCAATAATGCATAGTATTCCCCAGTTCCATTTCTTTAATCAAAACCTTGATTATGCTTTTGTTTTCATGTATGCGTGTGTTTTTATGGATTTGTCACATGGATTTGTATGATAAGAAGACGACCTTCGTTTGAAATGTTTGAAATGTTAAAAATGCAATAAACTGTGATAAACTGTTAAACATTGAAGTATTTTCGAAATCATAGTCGCGTCTTTTGGAGGGCAGATTATTAAAATTTTCATACGCCACTAAATTTTATTAAATCGCAGACGGAAGAGTATTGCAAATTAACGTGAAGATAGATCGAGCGACTGGCACGACTGATGAGAAACGTAAATGTGTTAGTTACGCGGAACGAGTATATTTAAATTAAATACCGATTAACTCTAGATTAAATTTGCAGTAAATCGAGCATGATGATTTAGACGGTGGCTCGTTAAAGCGCGTCTCGAGCTTCGCGTAATCGTCTTCCACATATTTATTCAATTACTGAGATTAACTCCACTACCACGTGACAGAACTGTCGCTAGATTCACGAAATTCTCGCGTGAATATATTGTGTGTGTGTCTGTGAATATGTGTGTATGTTATACTGCGCCACTATGTAAAATTTATGCGTCGTTCGGTTCTATCTCGCGACCTTCCACCGCGTTTTATGGGCAAGCAAACGAGCCGAATTCTCATAAGACACGTATGACGGATCAACGTTTGCCGCTTCTTTTTACTGTCATTTATCTGCGACGAATATATCTCACGTAGAACGGCAGCGAAAATAAAAATGTCGAGTAAAGCATGAATCAAACAATAAAGTACCTGTAAAGGCGGCGGCAACAGCAGCAACATTTATGATAGGTATCCAAAAATGGCAGTAGAAAACGGACGGCCTTCAAATCGTCCAGCAAGGAGAATGGATGAACATCTCCCGGTGTGAATTTAGGAGAATCCTTGATCATCGCAACGATAGCGCATCGACCAAATCGCGTAATTTCGAGATACAAGTTTTCAGAGCGAATGAGAACTAAGAAAAAAAAGGAACAAGAAGAAACGGTATACGAAGAAAAGGTTGAAATATCTAAACGTCAAAGATGTACTCGAAATTCCTCCGGACTCTAATATTCCCCCCCAGGTGTGCGGCTCATCGCATACCAATGCTTTTCTAATGAACCTCAGCAATTTAGCGTCCGCGCTATTCGCCCTTTTCAACAGTATCTTTTTGGTTTTCGTAGAAATCTCTTCCTCCCCCTCACCAGTGCGATGCGCAAGATTAGGATCGCTCTCGCGAGTGGACTTGTAGATTGTTGGTTTATACCTGCGCTTCGGATTTTTATGATCTCCCTCGTTTCACGTGTAACGTGTATTCGTCTCGTTTTATTTTCTACTACGTTCTCCCGAACGGCCAATGTCCCTTTTTCATTTTTTCGTCTCCCACGAATAAATGTGTTGTTTTCATCTTGGATTTTACAACCTGAGAGCTACGAAAACTCAGTCGCTTTTGTACCGTACTTTGTCGTACAAATGAAATTTATGAAAGAACAGCGCACGCAAACTTTTCGTCAAATGATGAAACACGATCGTACGATCCGATTTCCAGCCGCTGGAACGAAGAGAAAAAACAAATTAATCTGTGACGCGGCGGAGATTTTAAGGAACGTATAAACCCATTAATTGCCCGCCCTAAATTCCGATGGAATTCGTCTCGATGACTGGAGAGAATTTCTGAGAAGCCTCGGGTCAGAGTAAAGAGTCGCTTCCACTTGCAACGGGCAGTAGCGTGCAACCAGACGCCGTGAAAAAATCAATCGATCGACCGATCGACCGATCAACCGCTCCTCTTCGTGGTCCTCCTCCCTTTCCCTTCTTCAAGGCTCCGCGATCGTCTTCTTGTTGTTCTCTCTCGGACTCGGCTCGATTTCTTGGATCGAAACGCGCAAAAATCACCTATCTGCTATGAAGAAAATCCCAATCACTACGCAACGTTACGTGCTGTTAGGAACGCATGAATAACCAGAGAACAAGAGAGAAAAGAAAATCTTGGTGATTGCGATTACTCTATAAAAACACAAAGAGATTTGTATAATCAAAGAGTTTGCATCACAAACAATGCATATATAATATAGATATAGATATGATATGGATATTCTGAAAGAAAGTTTTACATCTTAAAAAAAATTCTTGTATACGTATGTGTGTATGTGTGTGTGTATGTGTGTGCACGGTTTTTTAAAAATATGATAAAATATATTATAACAAAAGAATATAATAATATATATAAAAGAAATAAAAAATATAATAATATATAATATAATGAGAAAGTATAATCTGGGAAAAGATTCTTTTCTAAGAATAAAGTGAAAAATTGCAAAAATAAATATTACTGAAAGGAAGTTTTACATCTTAAAAAAAATTCTTGTATACGTATGTGTGTGTATGTGTGTGCACGGTTTTTTAAAAATATGATAAAATATATTATAAGAAATAATATATATAAAAGAATATAATATATAAGAATATAAGAATATAATATATATAAAAAAAATATAATAATATATAATATAACGAGAAAGTATAATCTGGGAAAAGATTCATTTCTAAGAATAAAATGAAAAATTGGAAAAATAAAAATTACAATTATATAATTTTCAATTACGTATTCATGATTACATATTAACTGGTAATTATGTGTATTTCATATTTTGTATCTGCGGATTTCGCAAAGTCTAGCAATTTCCCGACGATACCTACTTATTTTTAGCATAACTCCATTCTATTTCAACGTAGCTCGGTTTGCCTCTGATTTCGTAACAAACGATGAATGGGATTAACACGTAAGGAAACCAACGGATGCCGAACGGGACGTAATCGATCGTTACGGAATCGTTCGCGCAGAAATCCTCTTCCGCGGTCCGCGTTGGATCTGCTCTATCTAAGAGGGAGTAATATACCGATCGTTTCGGATGATTGGTGACCCGGATATGGACGAAGGGTTCAACAGTCAGTTCTATTGAATCTGAATACGTTTTCAGGTGTAGACAAAAATTATTAATAAAGAAACAACACACGTGAGTAAGTTTGCCCTTCGACATACTCGCCTTCATAGATTACACCGTTATCTCGAGATGTTTCCCATTCGAAGTTACCGTAATACAATCTTGACTTAACACTTTGAAATATATAAGATGTTCAAGAATTCTCAACCTGAATTTTTATCAATAAAATTTATCATTGATACATATTTTCTCTTATGAATCGTGATCAATCGCTAATTTTTTAGACGAATCGTCAACGCGTTAAATTACCTGGAAAATGAAAATGTGATCTATATCTGCCTATATCTGTTTTCGACGCGAGAAAGTTAACAGAGAACGCAAATAGCTTCCATTTATATATCCATTCGCGAGTTTTCTAAAGCTCTAATTGTGTGCCTCGAGCGCTTCGTTGGCAAATCAAGCGGTCAGCGACATTTAAAACGTGCCATTTTTCGCGATCTTTTCTAATATCGCTAACAAATGGTTAACCGAGTTAGCGGTCGAACGGTACCGTGCATAAACCGAAGGAAATCAAACGAGAGAGCGTAGAGCAACTCCTTTGTCTCGACGTCGATTCCATTGTTCCGGACCGATGCGTAGAAAAAACTTGAAGAAACAACACAACGATGGTGAACGGGCGCACGAATTTCTTTGACGAGACGACGGCAACTCAGCGGTCGCTCCGACAAATTCGTACAATTATTTCTCGATTAGGAGAGCAGAGGATGATGCGCAAGATTATATCGCCGGTGCGTTAATGGGACGAGCGTGCATCGGTCGATTTTTACACATGCCCTTCGTCGTTCTATGTCATTCACGATACTTGTCTGATTGCAAAACCATCCTGAACAATTTCGAAATTAATGACATCTTTTTTTTTATTTAATACGTGGTAAAGATAGAAAAAGAAATTGTAGAGGAAAACATATAATTTATTGTATGCAGGGTTATTGTTTTTAGATAATATGTAGCATATAATATATATATTTTATATAAGTATTTAATAGAATTTTATAACGACAGTAAAATCGTATGTATATATTAATTCCTAATAAATAAATTTTAATAGGAAATAAAATACTTATTTGAAAAAAACATGAGACGATGACAGGCGATGATATAGGCGCGATAATGACAATGAATTACGGTCATAATTTAAATTAGTCTGACTTGACCCTCAACATTATCGTGATACAACCAAAAAGTCGTAATCTCGTACAAGATCACTAGATCAGGAATTTCCTAACTGCAATAAACAATTATAGACTTTCGTGAAGTAAGAGAAAGAAAAAAGAGGAACGTCGTTCCGAACGAGGAACGATGCACCGCTGAGAGCAAGTCGTAAGGACAGGATGAAGAGGAAAGGGGCAATAAAAACTGATCGAAACGTGTCTCCCTTGGACCGACCTTGCGGGCCACAAATGTCGAGAGAGCCGTCGAGAAAACAGAAAATTGTGGTGCTCCCTAAATGCGGGCGGTGTGATGTCATGCGGAAATAGCCGTCCGTCTACTCTCTTGCCAATACGCTACCACACTGTCGCCATCGCGGCCGCAACCACACAAGATAGAGAAACGATCATCGATTACCCCTCTTAGCCTCAACTACGAAAGCAAAGTCGATAACTCACAACACGGAGTCGAGACCGGCATAATCTCGATAGATTCAAAGTTCGAGGTTTAGTCCCGAAGAAACGTATCTGACGACACCATCGCGTTTTTTATCGACTTTAAAACACCAATGAATTTTCACTCTGATTGGATAAATTTCTTGATGCTAAATATTAATTTAATACTTAGCATTAATTTATTATTATGTTTTCTTCTCTTTTCAATTTTTCTTTCCATTCTGATTATATAATTGTAATACCAAGAAAGTGAGATTTGCTTAATTTCATTTTCTTGATTAGTTGAAGCATCGAATTAGAATTCAAAAAGTAATTTCTAATTTTTAAATATTTTCAATTGCACAGAATTAATTGGTATAATCTTAGGTGACGAGTTTACGAAATAAAGCGTAAAATGTGCAATACATTATTAAAGTTTGATAACTGAGATTATAAAAATAATTGTATAAAATTGCTTTTATGTTAAATTTGTCTTAAAAATTGTGCAACAGAAACGAAAGGAAAATTTCTCTATGATGTAATACATGCAACAATCGTTGATCGCTAAGTTATCGTATGTTTTCTGTCATTTATATCGATCGTTCAAACTATTACTATCCATCGTTTACGAGCCCCTAATAACCATAACTCGTATCGTCCGCGACGATTACAATTTTCCCTGCCGTATCTGCCGCAATTATGGCAACTAATTTAATGCTTCCGGCGCACCCCGAACGAATATAGGTATCGGGCCGGATCGACGAAGATCGCTAATCTTTCTGTTATCGGAAATTATAATTCAGTTGCGGCTAGAAATAGAGAGCGATGGAAACAGCCTCGATGATCGAGATATTTCCCATTTTGCACCAAATCATGTGAGATAAATCTCTATATTGTAATTATATGTTTTAATAATATATACTGATTGATAATAATGCAACTGTTTATTATAGATCAATTTTGGCTCCAACACTTATACCAACTTCGCGATCGAAGTATCGTATCGTATTTCACGTAATTCACTTTTATTAGATATCTCAATAATATTTATAAGAAAAACTAATGTAGATTTTAACAATGTCTTTATACTTGGCTTTAAAGGGCTGCGGATTATTGAAACTTGAGTACTTTGATATGTGAACTTCTCAGTTGAATTTCTTTTTAGAATATGAATAATATGAAGGTGCGAAAAGATCCCAAGAGGCTTTTACGACATTCCTATAGCCAATGTAGTTAAAAGCACTGCAAAGTCTCGTACGACATTTTTCCCAGTTCGAGCTGACAAAGAGACTCAGTTACTTGCGAAATGGTGTCACAAATGTGAAATCATAAGTATTGCAAAATATTCTTACGGATTAAGTATAATGTATTGAGAAAATTCGGCATTTTTTAAACATTGTATCACTCAAAATATTTGAGCATCTTATAATTTTTAAATAAAATTATGCTTCTCTTTTCTCTTCAATACAATTATTTTATTAAAATTATCCATATTTATTTATAAATATACTAGTAAATATTGTGTAGTGCATAAATAATATAAATATAATAATAAATAAGTATTTTTCAATAAAATAATTGTATCTATAAAAAATGTAAATTTATTATTTTAAAAATTTTTAAATGATAGTATATATATATATATATATATATATATATATATAAAATAATGATTATATTTCTTGATATTTTTTTCTGTTTGTTGAAACGCACATCATTATTAAGAACAATTTTCCTTTTATCTCTATTGCCATTTAATTAATTCGATGTTCAATAAATTAATATTTAATTCCTCATATATAATCATTTACTTGAATAATTCAATAAATTTAATTTAAACTCATTACAAAATCAAACAATGATCGCCTCAATAAAATCTTTAGGATGAATGAATTTATTTTATCATGTTTATATCAGAATATATCTAATCATTATAGATAGTAAATCCAGACAAAATTAGATTAAAATCCAAAAGATTTACCTTTATTAATTTTTTAAGATTCTATATGTTTCGATATAAAATATAAAAAGTTAATTTTGATATAAAAGATTAATTTTATTTTTATTTTTTTAAATAAAAAACCATCTATAGATATAAGCAATTTTGATAAATATCCGCAGGATTAGAAATCTCGTGGATTCTATTGACTAATTCATCTGATTAGATGCAACTATTAATTATGATAAATCATTTATAATACGATATGTATCAATTCATAATAATAAAAAAAACTCAATCATTTTTTACTCTATATATATGATAAAAAATTATTAAATATACTTTTTTTTATTTTAATACTTTACTTCATTAATATACAATAATAAACAACAGTTGAATAAAACAGTTGAGTAAGAGAATGTATTAATTTAAACTGTGTGTGTGTGTAGAAACATTAGTTAATATTGAGATATACACTAATAAAAGAGAATTTATAAATGATATAATGTTATGTATTATTTATCCTATAGTTTAAATGAATAATTGACATTCAAAAATATAATAAATAAAAAAAAGTATTTCTCGTTATAATTATTTGGAGGCCATAAAAAATGAAGCAATTAAATCTAGAGATATCACAGAGTAAATTCAAATTTCCCACATTTAATGATATCACTGTAAAGATAATAAATAATTTATATATAATTTTCTCTTACCTTGATATTGTTGAAAAAAACATTACCTTTAGATGCTCCCAAAATAAATTTACCTGAAAACATTCAAAAATTAAAAAAATTAATATAGAATTCTACGTCTTGTAAAGTTTCGCGATTTTGAAAGGCAAGTTATATACTTACTTGTAACATCGATGTCCTATGATATCATGATGCAATAAATCGACGCAGCTAAGGTTATATAACGATGCGATCCGATGCAGTCGAGGATACAAAGTATCAGGAGATTCACTTTTATGCACTGATTTCACTTTTATGCACTTCTTCGAAACTTTTCGCATTCGAAATGAAACGTACGTTTTTCCAGACGCGTCCCGGAAACTATATCATTATTATGTTGTACTTTCGATGCACGCGATTTGGCGCCGCCGCGGAATATCCAATTTTATAGATGCATTTCCCAATATTTTTTTTAACGTTTATTTGAAAACATTTATTTGAAAACGATACGAAAATTGCGATCTACGATTAATTTTACGACTGACAATTGATGCCGTTCTCGAACTTTTTGCATTCGAAATCAAACGAAACGAAATATGTACATGTCTCGCGCGTCTCAAAAACTTGCGTCTTTATTACGTTGCACTTTTGCACTGTGCGCGCGACTTGATGTTACCACAGAATATTCAATATAGATGCACTTCGCGATATTTTTTTCTAATATAACCAACATTTATTTGAGAACCATATAAAAGTTGCGATCTGCGACTACTTTTACAATTTCCACGATGCTTCTTTCGAATTTTTTAAACGAAACGAAACATGAAATATATATTCTACATGCCTCGAAAACTACGTTAAAGATTCGATGCGCGGTTTGGCGCCGCCGCAGAATATTCAATGTTATAGATGTGCAAACAATATTATAAATATATACTTCTGATATTTTTAATGTAGCGAAAATTTATTAATATTAAAATAAATTTATAATATCAATTTATATTATTAACTATTTTGCCGATCCTTCAATGTGATATTTTATGTTCTTAAGCGGATTAACAATTGTACTCGTACTACGTATTGTAAACGAGACTCGTATTTTCGAAAAAAGTGTTTTTTCCCCACACGTCGTTCTCGCGTTTGTCAACATAGTTTCTCGTTCAGTATCATTTAGATGTTTAGATTATCGCGGGAGTTTGTCCGAAATTCTCTCGATTTTCACTAGTCATACGCGAATGCTCACCCGATTTATCACGTTATACGAACAATGAGAAATCAATTATTCAATGAATATTGCAACGCATGTTATCAACTAGTCATAAAATTATTACGTAACATTCGCGTTCTATATTCAACGTATTTGTATACGTTAATGTCACGTTTATATTCGATGTACATACACATTCATATTTAATTTATGTATGTACAATACACTGACTCTATGGAGTTAATCGAAATTCACGCGATGATGTTCGGATCGTTGAGATAATCAGATATTTTTAGTGATAACATTGCTGCGTTTTATCTTTTCCTGCAATTTTCTGATTCGAAAGGGTAAAGCTTGCGCACTTTCCGCCACTCGATTTAAACATAGAGCGCAATCTCACCGCAGTTTGATTTTAAAACTGAAAAATTGAAAATCAGACTTTCAAATCGTATATGTGCATCACGAGTATTATTTAATCTTTCCGGTCATTAAAATTATAGAAAAATATGATCTCAATTTTCAATTATTCCCAATCAAGATATTTTTCGACATCATTGATTAAGCCTATTTATTTTTCCAAATAAAAATACTAAAAACTGAAATATAACAATCATAGACATTACGTTAATATTTTACACGTAATCATTTCCCAACATGATAAAAGTTTACGGCAAATTATAAAACTGAAATTATTCTACCGGAAGGAAAAGTGGCATTTTTTTCAAATTAATTTATCACCGAAGACACCCTGCGTCTCGATCACGCGATCTCAACGCGGGATAGAGGGAGGGGGGGGGGATATGTGGAAATCCGAGCAGATTTCTAGCGACAGTTGGAAAGTGTCGTGGCAAGGGTAAAAGTCGACGACGCGCGCGGGATATATTCGTGCGGCCTAGGACACATTCCGAAGTACGAGAGGACGACCGGCCGATATTAGTGCGCATGTGCGCGGGTTACACTTGACGGGCTCAAAAAATCAATGACCTCTCCCTGCCGCGAGATACGTCATAGTCATCCGTCAACGGGCGACGCTCGTCGGGGTATCCTCCTGCGATTCTCTCGCACGGGGATCGCGAAGATCGCCCCGACTCGTCTCGAGGCGACGTCGCGCGTCGCGCGCGCGATGACACGCACCGCGCCGGGCATCGACGACACGCGGGACAGGAGTGGGGGGGAAGGAAGAGCGCGAGAACGCGGAGAGAGAAGAGAAGATGGCCGGCGCGGCGAGGGTGCAGCTCGGATGGCGGCGCTAGTGTAAGACGGCCGAATAGCGGTACGCGGTGGAAACCAGCCGGGCAACCTCCACCGTTCGACACCACCGCTCGGCGCTTCAGTTCGTGTCCTCTCGCTGTACACGACGGTTGCGTTCGCGCCGGCGCTTCGTCCCTCGCGCATCGCGAAGTACAAACTGAGCAGAACGAGAAAACGTGTGTAACAGAAGGAGAGAGAGGGAGCGAACGGACTTGTGTGTCGCGCGACGGAAAAACAAACGCGTAGTCAAAGTCGATAAACAAACGTCGGAACAGTAATAATATACGGGTGTTGTACACATCGAGAGATTGTTTTGTTTTTTTTTCCACGCTCGGAGTAAGTCCGCTCTGAAGGTGTCCGCGCCGGTTACTTCGCAGTGAAGCAGTCTACAGTGTGAAGTGGTGATATAATCCAAGAGTGCGCGGATCCGTTCGCGACGCGTCCCGTCCCCGCGAAATTCCTCTCGCTGATATATATTATACGGTGCAACGATTCGCGTCGGTACGCGGAGTGGCGAGCCGTTGGGGCAAAAGGGAGAGAGGAGAAAGGGGAGGAAGAAGGAGAGACAGCGCACGCGAGAGAGGAGCGCGTACACGCTCTCTCTCTCTGTCTCTCTCTCTCTCTCTCTCTCCTCGTCGCGTCGCGCGCGCGGTGCACCGCCGCCGTTCGTCCACCTTTCGCGTTGCCGCGAATGCACGGGATAAAATGGCGCTTGCTTTCGTCCGTGCACCTCTATCGACCGTGACGAACTGTTCGACGGGATCGCGTCGGCATCGCTCGCCGGGGCCCTTCTGAGGGAATCAAACGACGTCCCGTGTGTCTCCCGTCGTCGTTCCTTCCCGTTCCTCGCCCGGATCGTCGACGTTCGTCGTGATCGTCGTGCCCCTTTCTTTATCTCCGTCGCACCGTCGGGGTACCGTGCGCCAAATAGCGTGTGTGTATGTGTGTGCAAATGCCAGAGAACATCGGGAGCTATCATCGCGAGTGCGGCAATTTCGGAGCAAAGTGCCTGCCGACGATGGAGTGAATTCCAGGTGAGTCCAAGTTACATTTCCGCGATAAGCCGTTGGAATTGCTGCCGATATCTCGCAGGATATCTTTCATCTTGCCACATTTCGAGCTCTTTATTCGCGTGAGAGCCAATGTGTCGAAAACGAAGATACGAGGTGGACTTGTGATAAGAATCTGATAGTCGTAATGGCTTATGAACTAAAGGTCAACGCAATATGTGCGTGTGCGTGTGCATATATATATACACACATTCAGACATAAAATATATATATTATTGTGATAAGAGCGTTAATCTGTGACTTTTTACGCCCGCAGTGGCCTCTAGATATCACAAGGCAGCAATTCCGAGACGGTATATTTTGTACTTGATTCGTGCATTGTGAGAATGTAGATGCATCGCGAGGAATTGCGAGACAACTTCGCGGCGACTCACGTAACGGCGAAGTATTAACGATCGGTATCACGGTGAAAGGCATTAATTCGCTTCTCTCGTTCGTTCGACACTCCTAGTAGATTCCGTTCTAGCGCGTTTCCTCGCATTTTCTCGCGTACTTCATCGCACTACGTTCTACGAAAAATTAAAGAGTCGTGAAGTTGTACGTGTGAAATTTAAAAAATCGCACAAACGAAATTTCACGATATTTCTCTCTCACATAAGAGAATAAGCGAATGCATTTCATGAATTTTTTTTTACATCGTTTTTTCCTCTTAAAATATCTTAACCTTCATCAATTTTCCTCTTGAAATATCTTAACCCTCTACATAAAATCGATCCATTCTGTGTGACATAAATTTTCCCCGATCAATGCTCGATCAATATTATATTTCCAATCACATGTCATCAAGGAGCCCATGTGAAATTTCTTGGAATTATATAATCTTTTCACGATTTTTAAAATTACCTTCCTAATTTTCCTGAATTTATTTGAGCTTAAAAATACAAGAGAGAGGATGCGCATTGTATAAATAAAATGCGATTAAATGTCAAGAGAGAAACCGAGAAACGTACTCAGTTTTCTGCAAAATACTATGGACGGTTAATGCCATTTGTACGTTCGTGCAAAGAAATTTTGGGGCACCTAGGGTCACGCAACGACACATGCGACACGCGATATACGTGTGCATGTATGTACATAGATAATACGCGTGTGTGCACAAGCGAGCGCGAGCGTAAGGTTTACGCGCGCGCTTTCGCACGCGCCGAAACGTGCCGAAGAACGCGCCTTTGGCATAGCGCGCGGCGCACAAATACGCACGATGTTGTACCACACGGAAAATGACAGGCCGACGTGTTTGAGCTCGACTCTACGCGCAAATATTTTACGCGGGCAAACACTCGCCGCGACGGATCGTATCGTTTCCTCTTTCTCTCCTTTTCTCTCCCTCGCTCTCTCGTTGCGCGGCGAGAGAATTTTCTTCCTCGTTTCGTGTTACGTAATCCGTCAAACGTCAAAACGCGATTCCGCGTGGAGTCATTTTACGGAGTGGTTTGCGTTTGGGGTTACCATCCAATTTTTTTTTATACGGGATACTAAGATTTCCCCTTTTACGTTTTCTTCGAAATTAGAATCGATCAAATGTTATCCGACATTTGTCGTTACAAATTTTTCATTTGCACTATTTATTCGATGTATTTCGCGATATTTTACATATAATAGTAGAGAATTCACGTTAAAATCTTAAATATATCGAATATGCTTAGCTTTATTTTATTTCAATAAATTTCTTTTAATTTATACAAATTTATCTGTATAATATGCTATTATGGACGTATTATATTATTTAATCTTCTGATGTTTAAAAAATCATATAAATGATGCAGTAAGCTTAACTTGAATAAAAAAAAAATTTATGACGACGAAAAAAATTAATGACCAGATTAAATTCCAACAAATCCGCCTAATTAACGTAGGAAATGATCGTAACAATTGAAGAAATCGGACAGAGGAAAACGAATTTTCGTGACATAATTGTATCACAAATATGTTGAACGAACCGATTGTTATCGCATGGTTGACAATGGACGTTTAGGTAGAAGCGTGATAATCTTTCGGCAGGCTATTAGATGAAACAGGTCACACAACCTTCCGCTTTTCTACCTGTTGTTGATTTGAACAGGTAACGCAGATCCTATACACAAGATTTACCTCGAGCTTACGGAGCGTGTAACCTTTTCAAATTTTCGTTTGTGAAACGTGAGAAAGCGTTATTATCAAATAATATTTTTTCCAATGAATAAAGATTTACCGTACGATTGGCTGGGTGGTTTGACACAAACTGTATTTTAATTCAAAATTTACACGCTCGAAATACGTATTCTTTAAAATGTATGAAAAATGTATAACTTTAAAGATCTCGGAACATATAGTATGTAAACTTTGATAATTTAATGAATGTTCAACAAAAATGATTAATATTGCAATTTTCTATTTTTGATCCATATTTCTTCTCTTTTTTGTTGAAATTGGGATCTAGAAAAAATATTTTTAAATATGAAAAATTGCGTACGATTTTTTAGTTTCGAGTTTTGTTTTGGACATGTTAATTTTTATTTTTAAATACTTGATGAAATCATTTTTTTGTAGACAAAAAATCTTGTGAAAACAATTTCTCTACATTTGTGAAATTTTGGTTCAACTAAAGAAAGACGTGGATGAAAAACGATGGAAAAGGTGTACTTGCTTAACATGTTCGTTGCAAAACGTTTGTCGCGTTTCACGAAATAATCGGAGAATCAAAGGGCTAAGCAGAGGAAATACGCACGGTGCGCAAAATGACGACAATCTAGTTTATTAACCATTAACCTCTCCATTAACTATTATATTCGCAACATTTAGCGGTTCGCGTGCAATATCGCGTTCTCGCGCGTTCATAAAACACGACAGTTTCAAAACAGTTTCCGCTTCGTTCGCGAGCGCGTTGAAGTAGCGCCGGTGGCCTCGTTTTGCGATATAATCGTGTAATCGATTTGGTAACGATTGAACCGCTTCTCGCGATCCACGAATACATTCTAATTACAAGGAAATAAGGTTAATAAAACAAAATTCAAACGTTGTCGCGTTACGCGTGCGTTAAGTATAATATCGCGTGTAGACTTTAAATTTCCATATTTTACATTTCTTTCGTGCTCCAATTATTGTCTCGTTTAAATAAAAACATTCGCAAAAATATGTTACATAATTTTTATATATTTTTACAAATATCCTTTAAAAAAGTATATATATATTCGTTTTCCTTATAACGTAAATAAACTTTATATTACTTGCAAGAGTCGTAATCAGATAAATCAAAGAGAAATTAAAACAGAAACAGAATTTAGTAAATAAAAATGCATCCATATATAGTAGTGCGATTATACAAAAGACATATCCGGGCAATTTTAAATCGTAAGGTGTATCAGAGGGAGGATTATAATCGCGCGTGCACGTAGAATATAAACGTTCCGCAGCGACTTACTCGTGTCCCTCGTTTTCCCTCATATTTACACCGACGTGACTCCGGGAGCTTACGCAATTTCATAAATGAATCGACCCGCTTCCGTCATTAAGGCGTAATTCCATTTTCGGTGTCCCCCTTCTTCCTCGCTCAGCTCTCGCGATTAGCCTCAGTTTATTGTAGAACGTATAAAAGCCGCTAATTGTCCCGTATCCTCTTTCTTTTTCGTCCCAGACGCGTCTACCGTCTTTCATACGTCGGACATGATGAGAGAAAAAAAGAAAGAGAGCTAGCAACGTGAGAACGAATTCCCTATGTTTGTCTCCACGACGCTATCGTCGAGATCTTGCCCGATAATCATCAATGGACCGTTAGACGAAAATGATCGCGGACTCTGCCGAGATATCGCGTTATTCCTCTCCCCTCTCTCTCTCTCTCTCTCTCTCTCTCTCTCTCTCTCTCTTCAGATCTCTCTTCTCTACTCACTCTTCATCTCGCTTCGCATACATACGTAAGTTCCCGGGGGCGAATCTGCGCGAAAATTAATGAAACCTAAGCTTCAGTTGTCAAGAGATCCCCATAGGCATCCCTAGAACACTCGAGGCGAAACGTTATCCGAAATATTATTCCCTTCGTTTGACTTTGACAAGAAGAGTTAACGCTATGATGTGGTCTAGAATTAGGGCAAAATAGGGTCGTCGTATCAATTCTGCTCATGCACGATTTCTGGAGATATAATTTAATTTTTCTAGATATAGACAATTTTAGAAAAATTAAATATTGGAGAAGCATTTCACAATTTCGCAGAATAATCTTTATAAATATATCATGAACGTAAAAGCATGCGCGTGTTATCATTAACATCATCGTGTGTGTGTGTGTGTGTGTGTGTGTGTGTGTGTGTGTGTGTGTATTTGCTTACGTATCAGAAATTATTAATCCCCAGGCCCCGAAGAATTCTCATACTTCACTGCACGCTCCTGAGAGGCAATCTCATCGGCCTGGCGAGGATCGGAGCAATTAATTATGATTACTGGTATTATTAGAGACGCGCACTAGCGTGTCTATCGGCGGTCGACGCGTGTGCGTGCGCGAGTGCGTTCGTCGCGACGCGCCGACTCGGCTCGCTCGCTCTCGCACACGCTCGTTCGAAGCGAGCTTACTCGCCGCTGGTGTAATTGCATCGTGAAAGTGTTACAAAGCGATCCACGTCGACTCCGTGAAAACGTGTCGCGTTGCATTGCATTGCATTGCGTTGCGTTGCATTGCGTTGCATCGCGTCGCGTCGTCGCTCGATCGACCGCGGACTTGTGGACGTAGTGAAAGTAGTGCAGCCACCTGGCTCGTCCTTTGAAAACCTGCAACTCGTACGTATATAACCGTCGCCATTTATACGCAACAATCCGGTCCCGCGAGATAGACACAAGCTAGGATTGAACTTTTCGAACGCTCCGAGAAGAGAAGATTGTCTCCTCGAGTTTCACAAAAACTCCGACAGCATCCATGGGGGCTCGAAAAGGGACCGCTGTGTTTTTAAAAAAATTTCTTTGTATATAATCGGTTCTACAAATATTAAAATGAAAATTGC